GATTAGGTATGGTATATCTTTCATTAGGGGAAATGCATGTTGTGGTATGTACATTGGGTCGATTATGTAGATTGATTGTTGATTAGACGTCCAAATTTGAGCTAGAGTAGATGTCGCAATATGTAGCGAAATGGGGGAAAAATCTACAGATTTAGTACAATTGGTATAAATTAGTACAACTAATAATGTGAAGAGGACTGGTACACATAAGTACGAATATGAGGGTTTAGAACTACTGGTACACAATGGTACAGATATGAGTTAGAGTACAACTGACACTCAATAGTACAACTGTGACAAATTGGGTAATAATAAAACACGTATTTTGGTTTGATATACACAGGAAAGGTGGGGCAGAATGAGTCCGGCCGTGAACATACACTTTGATTATGGAGGGAAGTATACAGAAGTTGGAGAGGTGTTTAACTGGATTGGAGGAAGTTCCACGTTTGCAATATCTTTGAAATACCGTGCAATGGAGGAGATTACTTACTCAGTTTTAGTAGAGACGATATGCAGGAAGATGGCAATAGATGAAAGAACAGCGGAACTGAAACTGAGCTACATTCCAATGGTATTTAACCCTCAGAGCGAGTCATATATTTATGATGATGAGGATGTTTATGTGTATCTAACAACAGTGGACGAAAAGGGATTTAGATCTGTTTTGCACGTGGAAGTAATGAAAGATGTGGAAGTAACTCAAATGGAGCCGCAACTGTCTCCGCAACTGTCTAGAGCTGGTCAAGGTAGCTCAGTTGGTTTGAACAAAGGAGAGCTTGGTTCAAATGTCAGTGCTGATGCGGGGATCCTAACTATCTACAGAGCAGAGGGACCAGCAAAGCAACACAATGAGCCAATAATTGAAGAGCCAATGGAGAATGATGTTGATGAAGGAATGCATAAAGAATGTGGGGATGATGGTAACGCAAGTGACGAAATTTTGGCATTGAATGATGACGTATCAGGAGGTAATCGCATGGAGGAGCCTCACTATTATGAGCCACGAGGTGCTGATGAAGAAAGTCAGCTAGTTGCTGAATGGGAAGATGGTGCGGGTCTTATAGTTGGTCAAGAGTTTAGTTCTAAAGCGACAGTGCAACAAATGATTGAGAGAGCTGCACATAAATACTGTTTTTCGTTCAATACTATCAAGTCCGATAAATACAGACTTATGCTAGAATGCCGTCAGAAGAAACAAGGTTGTAAGTGGTATCTTCGAGCTGCGAGCGTTAAGGATTCAAGCCGTTTTAGTGTCAGGGTTTACAGAAAGATGCACAGATGTTCCCGTGCTGCGCAGAGTACAAGCAGCAATAAATTGAAAGGTACACCAGAAATGGTAGCATCGGTTCTGCATGATGTGTATCCAGGTCGCCTCGACACCCCAGTTCCTAAAAGTATCATCAATATTGTTCAAGGGCGTATTGGTATGAATGTATCCTATTCCACTGCCCTGAGGGGGAAGAAACTCGCATTTAATTATGTACGAGGCAGTCCAGAAGATAGCTATAGTATGTTGTATTCTTATTTGCACATGTTGGAGAAGGTAAATCTTGGAACGGTAACAAGTGTGGAATTGACTGCAGAGAAGAAGTTCAAATACTTATTCATTGCTTTAGGTGCTTGCGTTGAAGGTTTTAGAGCAATGAGGAAAGTGTTAGTAGTGGACGCAACTTTTCTCTCGGGTTCCTATGGTGGTATGTTAGTGTTTGCGATAGCTCAGGACCCTAATCGGCACAATTACCCGGTTGCGTTTGGTGTGATTGATGGCGAGAATAATCGTAGTTGGCGGTGGTTTTTCGAAAAGTTAAAAACTGTAGTTCCAGATGATCCTGAGTTAGTTTTTATGAGTGATAGACATCAAAGCATCATCAAGGCAGTCTCTGAGGTGTATCCGAGTGCTCATCATGGATATTGTATTTGGCATATTTCGCAGAATGTGAGAGATAGAGTTAGTAATGTCAATAAAGACTTTGTCGCACAGAAATTCCGGGATTGCGCTCATATCTATACTCAATCTGAGTTCATTAGAGAGTATGGTGATTTCAGAGTTAGGTTTCCTAAAGCCGCTGAGTATCTTGATAATAGTGTTACCCTGGAAAAATGGGCTAGGTGCTGCTTCTTGGGGGATAAGTACAACATAGAGACCAGTAACTCGACAGAGTCTATGAATAGTTATTTAGTGACTGCGAGGAAGTACGCCTTATTGCATATGATCGATGCGATTGTAGCTAAAGTTTCTGAATGGTTTAACAGATACAGGAAGGATTCAGCTGGTCCTTTTTATAATAAGAGAGTGGTGCCTGTTGTGGAGAATGAAATACACAGTCGATGTGCAATCGCGTCTCTTTTAGTGGTGATGGAACTAAACAGCTACGAGCTTGAATACAGCGTTAATGGACTGGACGGGAAAACTTACGTGGTGAACTTGATAGCAAAAAGCTGTTGCTGCAGGCGGTTTGATATAGATAAGTTCCCGTGTGAACATGCAATAGCCGCAGCGAAGAAACTGATGAGCACGGAAGATAGATCAGCGAGTATCGGAGTATATGACTTGTGCTCAAAATATTACTTGATTGAGACGTGGGCATTGGCATACTATCGAACAATTTATCCTGTTCCTCATCATACTGACTGGAGTGTTCCTGAAAACATCAAAAAGTTGGTCGTCTTACCACCAGATGTCAAGAAAAAAGTGGGTAGAAATCAAGAAAAGCGGAAACCAGGGCCCGGAGAACGTCGCCGGAGGACAAAGAACAAGGCCGACCCTTACTTGGACTTGGAGGCTTGTTTCCGGTCTTCTCAACATCCTCAGGCAGAAGGGGGTCCTTCAACTTAGTTTTTGAGTTTTGTAATGCTTTGTGTTTTTATTTGGACAACCAGGTCGACTATGGACAACTATTGTTATTTGTATTGGAGTTTTCTAATGTGTTGTTTTTATGTGGACAACCAGATCGACTACGGACAACTGTTTAGTTCTTTGGGTTTAGTATTTGCTTCGTGTTAGTGTTTGCTTTGTGTTATTATTTGGACAACCAGGTCGACTATGGACAACTATAGTTAATTGTGTTTGCAAGGTACAACTGGGTCCTTGTGGTTCAACTATTAGCAAAATCATTAAATTTGATATCCTAAATATTTGATAATATATATCATTAAATTTGAAGCAGTTGGAGACTTCTTATAACTCTAAACTCATAATAATGTAAAAGAAAACGAATCAAACTAAAAAACAAAAATTCCTTTATACATTTTCTTTTTTCTCATCAAACAATATCATCTAGTTTAAGGATGAATTTGGTAAATGTAAGTTTCTCATCATGAATAAAAACTTTGTAAATGATTATGCAAAAAAAATAGTATCTACGCCTTCTAAATGACCACTAATACTCAAAAATGTCAAGGACAACTACAAAATAGTAGGGTATGCAATGGTACAACAACAAAAACCAAAAACTCGTCAAAGTACACCTATGCGGAAATTAGTACATTAGGAACAACTTTTGGACAACTATATCATCGATTGACGGCGCACGTGTTTCATATCCAAGATCGACGGCACACATGTTTCTTACACTAAGCAAATTTTTCAAAATTTTGAAATTTTTTAAATCCCCCACCAAATTTTTTAAGTGCAATTTACATCTACATATTCTCATTTTCCCATTTTCCCATTTCCGAGACTTAACACAAGTAGAATAGAAGAGAGAAAACCGCAGAAATCGAGAGCAAATTGGTGACGAACCGAGAAAAAAAAATTAAGGAAAAGATGGGAAGCCTAAGCTCTTCGCGATGGGAAGACAAAGGTAATTCGATTTGCGATTTTAATTCTTGATTTGGCATATCAGTTTTTGGGATTCAAATTAGGGTTTATGATAATAATTGAAAATTTGGGGATTTCCTTAGAAATTAGGGTTTATGATTCTAATTGTGAATTGCAGAGATGGAGAAGGCACTTGCGAAGCTTGCGAAGAAGGATCACGGCATGACAACAAGATGGGGTCCGGAAGTCAAAGGAGTCCGAACCATTGTTCCATGTCCTAAGCAAGTCGGAATTCCTCAATTTTGCTACTGCGGTCCTCCTCGTATTGCTCCGTGGCCGAACCTAATTGACTACTCTGCGCTAGACCGAGGCCGGAAGTACTACGGCTACTTTTACGGTTGCTGTGGACCGAAAAACTTCCCCGAAGTAAGATGTCGCTCTGCTTTATAATTTTGCTAAACCTATACAAGCACAAAACCAATGCTTTTCCGTCTTTCAGGTTCCAAGTTGTGGCCTCAAGAAGTGGTGGGATGTCGCTATAGAAGAGGAGATTGGTTTGCTAAAAGAAACTCATGAGGACATAAAGTCTGTGTTTGATGTGATTGTCTCAAAGCTAAACCAGCTGGAATCGAAGATTGAGGCTCTACAGGAGGCCTTGAAGAACAAGGAGGCTTGAAGCTTTTTCCTGTTATATTTGGTTGTCCTAGTTGTCCTATCTTCTTATCTTCTTGTTTGTTGTCCTAGTTATTTTATATTCCCCTATGTAATGTAAGACTCTTTCATCTTTCATTTGAACCTAGTTGTTCCATCTTTCTTATTTAGTAAACACTTCGTCTTAGTTGAACCATGTTGTCCCCGAAGTTACAATTTTAAAACGGTTGATACAACTACAAACCAAACCATTCAAGCTTTGTGTACAGAAAAAGAAGACTAAAAGTCACAAAAACAATACTTTCACAAGTTCCATTCAGGCAAAAGATCCAAATACAAAAAAAAACAACCCCAAACATTCAGACAAGTAGCAAGCGATAAATAGATGTTTCAAAAAAGTACCAACCATGGAACTTGTCTAAACCAAGCAAGTTTTAAACTAAACCTTTTGTCTTTTCGAGGCCCTTGTCACCACCTGGTTCTTAACTTCTCCACCGGCAGCCTTCTTCTCTTTGTTTCTAGTTTGCTTCGAAGCCCGTGTTTCGACCTGGTTCGTCTCTCCTGTTTTTTTTCCCTTCTTCCACGGCAACCTTAGAATTCTGACCTTTTGTCCGTCTTCTTGCTTCTGTAAATGGAGGTTTCTTCCACTGGGATGGTGCACCTTGCCTCTTCGGTCTTTGTGGTGGTGGTAAGGGCGGGCCTGTCGACGGTGCTGGTGTTGGTGAGATGGCTGCTGACGCCGCTTGTGTTGGTGAGATTGCTGCTGATTCTCGTTGAGGTGTCGGTGAACGAACTCCTGTGGGTGAACCAACTCCTACAGCTGATGGTGCTGAGATGGCTGCTGACTCTGGTGGAGGTGTAGGAACTAGTGTGGGTGAATGGACTCCTACTACTGATGGTGGGATCACCGCTTCTGTTCCAGTGAACTCCATCTTCTCTTTCAAGTATTTCTCAACAGCTTTCAGCCTCTCCTCCATATCCTCTAATTTCTTCTCCAAATCCACTTCTGCTGAACCCTTATACGCTTCTGGCTCCGGTTCATGTTCCGGATCCTGACCTCGACAACCAACTTCCAAGTCATACAATTGTTTCCAACATATTTTCTTCTTCTTGACGGTGAGGTACTCAGTCCAAGACTCAACAAATGGATCAACAAACCCTATCCCTTCGTCGTATCCACGTTCCATTATGCGATCTATGAGCGCTTCTTCCTCAGAGTCAGGTTCCAAAATGCTAATAATTTCCTGTCATAAATAATCAAACCCTAGTTACTACTTCCAACCTAGCTCAATCTAATAATATTGCTCATCAAATTATACTACTAACACTTACCTCGCTACTATTGCCTATCGCCTCATTAATGTCCTCCAAAGGAAACCCTCTCATGCATATCTCAGAAAATTTCCCCTTGCACATGCGTGGACAGTCTCCATTTGCAGGCACAACTTCTCGGCACCTCCGTCGAAGCTCAGGAATACATTCGAACGCCATAATCTACATAGAAAATCACAGTATCAAAAACTCAATATCACAATACCAAATACCTGAAAACTCATTAATAACACATACCTCTAAAGGAACTATGAAACCCCCAAAGCTGCATGATTGTCCTTTCTCTTTCACGCTCCCTCTAAGCTTCCTCATCACACGCTGTATCTCCTTGATGCAATTATCATACGTGTATCGCCCCCAAGGAAATTTCTTACACAGCCTTAGATCATTCACAACTCGAAGCAAAAAGGACTCTATGTTACCATTAGCCTTAGTTCCAGCTTTGACAACTTTGCTTAAGAAAAAGAGTACTGCCATCTTTTTCTTATCTTCTGAGGTCTCCATTGCCTCAAGCCTCTCTTCCACATCCTTAACTGTTATTGCCTTCTTCCTTCCAAACTGTCTCTCAACAAAGCTCCAACCCCCCAAATCCTTATAGTTTCTAGGGTACTCATGGCAGTCTAACCCACAGAGGACTGCATGCTCTCTCAATGAGTAACGGATGGGAACACCATTTACAACAAACCAGCACTCACTTTCCTTCCCGGTTTTAGCAGTATGGAGGAGGAGCATCCACAGACCTTGACTCATGTGATTCCGTTCTTTGGGCATATGAAAAATGTGCCTGAATTGAGGGTGTGTTTTAAACCATTTTGCCTCTTCTGGCATTGCCTCTATCTTCTGAACAACACTCGTTACAGAACACCTAGTAACTATCTTGCAAGCTTTGCCAAACTCGGTTGGGTTAAAGAAAAGCTCCTCAGGTTGCATCGGCAAGCTAGAGGTGGGATCCTACAATTCGAATACATTTACCATTAGTTGTCCCTGTTGTCCTAATATTAATTGACTAAATTTACAGTTTTATTGTTCCTGTTGTTCCGGTTGTCCTAAATACTAAACTACAGGATCAATCAAACAAGATCGGATGTCATTTCACAGGGGCCATAGAGTACATGAATACAGTACATACCTGGTCATCTTCTTCCCCATCGTTCATGTCCTCGCCTACCTCTTCTCCCGCAATCCCATCTGTCGCTTCCTGTCCTTCATCATCTGCTTCCTCCTCTTCATCTTCCACTGCTTCCTCCTCTTCATCTTCCACTGCTTCCTCCTCTTCTTCATCATCTGCTTCCTCCTCGTCTTTTTCCTCTCCCTCCTCCTCATCTCCTTCATCGTTGGCTTCCTCTTCTTCATCATCTGCTTCCTCTTCTTGTTTTTCATCTTCTTCATCTTCTTTGTCATTGGCTTCTTCCGTTTCTTCGTCTTCTTTTATCTCTTCTTCTTCATCTCCTTCCCCGTCTGCTTCCTCGGAACCGGCCCCCTCGGAAACTGACTCTCCATCTTCCTCCACTGCATGCGAGACATCTCCATCTCGACCTGCCTCGGCGCCCATAACAATACCAGCTGCGTCGGTCACCATCACTTCCGGAGGCTGAGTTGTTCCTTCCTTTTCTACAACGGTGGCCCTGGCTTCGGAGAGGTTTTCTCTAGTGGAGGTTTCCGTCGATTCGTAAACGACTCCACCTTTCCCTTTCTTTACCTTCGCCATTACGGCTACCCAGACTAAACTATGTGCTTCCGCCGAAAATTAAACTTCAACTCCGGCGAGAAGAGTTTCGATTCCGGCGAAGAAATGGTCGACAATTTAGAGAATTTTTGGATTTGAGTTTTTAGGTTTTTACTTCAGTATAAACCCCGACTCAACCCGAGTAAAATCCCTTTTCTTCGGGTCGGGTGGATACTCGCATGATTTTTTTGTAAATTTTTTAAAATTTGGGGGATGATACAGTATTTTTCACGCTTTCTACACTTAAAAGAAAATGAATAATAAATTTAATTTTTGTTGGTGGCATAGGAGATCATTTTTCAGTCTCCAGTGGTTTTCCAGCCATTAGCTCGTTTCTTTGGGACTCGTTGATTGATGGGAGAAAAGAGAATCTTGTATATATTTAAAAAAAAGCTGTAAATAGTAAATGAAAAAAAAATACTTTTTTACTTTTCACCAAATTAATAGACTTTATATGAATCAAGCTTCTTGTAAATAAATATGATTAATTTTAATTTCTGGCTATTTTTATAGTCATAGATGAGTGAAATTTGTTTATTTTTCTTTTTCAACGGAATGAGTGATATGTTTAATTCTATTATATACATATATAATTGATGTTTATAATATTGAGTAAAGAATTATACTTTTGAAGTAAAAAAATTTAGTGGAAGGAAGAAATAATTGGTTAGAAATGGTATTGACTATTGAGTTGATGAATTGAAAATAAAATTTGCTCAAATTCAGCTTTTACAGGAATTTTACAAATGTTGACCAAAAAAGAGTTTAACAAATATTGTAAGCAAGAAGTTTAAAATATTTATAAATTCATTTATTTATTAACAAAAAACAATCGTCTGATTTGAACTTTTCTAATCAGTCTTCTGGATTACATACATAACTTGATCAAGAGAGTATTTTTTAAAAAAAAATTACTGATATCGAATCACTTGTGAACATTTTACATCAATGTTGTCTTTTTTGAAAATGATTTTTCACTTAATATAATTATCTTGTCTCCCACAATTTTTGTGTTTGTGTCAGTGTCAGGCTTGTCAGCTTTTCTTGTGATTAATCCATCATTTAAATATTGCAAGCAAATATCTATTTAATTATACAATAAGTCAATAAGTGAGTTGTTAATTTAGTTGTTTTTGGTGGCAAAAAAAAGCTGTTTCTTTAAGAAAAATGTAAATAAAGGGAATGTTGACACCAAAGAACTCACAATATTAGCTTTGAGATTTGGATACAACTTTTAAACTTTCTGAAAGTTATTTATACACAAAATCAATATAGCAAGTACTGTAGTACAGATTTTCTGAACATATATTTTAGGCATCGCTAGCCGACATAACTTTGTGCATGATAAAAAAAAAAGACATGCACAATTTCGAAATTAAAAAGGTGAAAGAGACAGGAGAGGGCATAAAGGCAAATAAAAGGCCTCGTTAAATTAAATTAATTTTTTTTTTTTTACAATCAGTCACTAAAATTATATGGCCTCATAAAATAGCACATTCTGTTCTATATCATATGTCGGGTCTCTTGTTTTTTTGGCCAAATGAAATTATGCTTTCCTTTTCAGTGTGAACAAATGCCAATAATGTTGGTCTCTCTGTGCATATCCGACGAAACTATATTGTCTGTTGTACATTGACATTTTGGAATAGCATCAAAGCAAACAAACAATGGTGGGCTTTAATTATATTGGGCCGCAAACAGTTTTTTTTTTGTTTCTTCTCAAACTAGTTATCAGTTTATCACATTTGTTGTAGTCATGAGAACTGTAAAAGAGAGCTTATGATTCGAATATGGCTAAAGAGAGAGTGAGGATACTGTTGAAAGTGATCTTCAAGAGGATAAGATGGAGATATTGTAAGAGAAGATATTGTAGCTCAGTTTATATAGATGAAGTTATTGTGGGTAACATACCCTAATTGTTTCTGGTAAACACAGTTTGTTTTTGGTTGAATTGTTTCATTTTTTTTTTACGACGGTTGGATTGTTTCTAACAGATCTATTTGTTTCAAACCGCCTTATTGATTTTCCCATATATGGACCTTTAATTATGGGTGTCCAACAGGTTGTGTTGGACTTAATGCTCGAACTACATGAGTTTGACGTTGATGGTTGGCTACGTTAAAAGTAAATAAAGCAGGCGTAAGTGGTTAATGTTAAGAAGTTTAATGCTCGCTAACAGAGCCGTGCTTATAGTGTTTTAGAAAAGGCATTTGCCTCAAGTCCCCTCTAAAAATATATAAATCTAAATATTTTTAGTCAACATTTCTTCAATTTTTTTATACCTTGATCTATTTTCTTCATTCTTCTGTTTGTCTAAATTTGTTTGTACTTTGATTTTTTTTCGTCTAAACAAACTGCTGCGTTTAATATGAATTTAATAACTTAAAAAAGCAACTATATTCGTGTTTCTTTCCAATATTTTAATATTTCAGACTCTTTTATTCAAAAAATATATATTAAAATTAGATTTTATATGTTAATTTTTTCAATATTTTGTAATTATATGAAAAAAACTTCATTTTATAATTTTGTCTTAAGCCCCTAAAACTCTTCGCACGGCACTGCTCGCTAATAGATTTAGATGTTAATTGGTCAATTGTTTTTTTCAAGTTATGAAAGTTTGTTCATTTGAGACTATGGACAAGAGATAGTCAATTGCAAATTTGGAGATACGTATATGTTTTAACTGAAACTCCTAATGGACCAAATGGTGAAGATTTGTTCAATTGTTTCTATTTGTTTTTTCTTCGAATTGCATGGAGACAAACTTGTCGACTAATAATTATAAAAGTTAAATATTGAATACTTCTTCAAAGTAGATATTGATTATTTTAGCTTATGGTCGTCATTGATCAGATAACCAAATTATCCAATTGTATGGACTATGGTACAAGTGGAAGATATAAAATTGGTTGTGCTTTATTAACAAAGTCAAAGCTTGATATGTATCCTTGAAATGACACAACAAGAATAGCCAAACATGAAGGAGATCATATAATATGTGTGAAACTTTAGAGTCAAACATGGAAAATAAAATAAAAATATGAAACCGTTAGTTTGTGACTTTACAAAGTCGTTTTAAAACCAGAAAAAAGTGATAAAAACTTTTATTTGATGATTAAAGAGAAAGTTTTTGGAACTAATCTTTGAATTGAGTGAGATTGAAGAAAAGAGGGAAGATGAGAAGGCGTTCGTCAGTTACCATCCATGTTGCTTCGGAAACGGATTTACGCACTACGTGTCGTTTCTAAATGCTAACTATCCTTAATGGCATTTTATGTAATTTTCGAGAGTTGATTCAGGGTATTATCGTCAGTCTAGTCAGATTAAATGTTTCCATCAATGTTACTGGTTTTTCCTTTAACCAGATTTGAAGAAGAAAGACGAAGGAAAAAAAAAACCAAATAAAGGGAAGAACAAAAAAAAGTGTCCCTGATTTCAAATTTTTTTTCCTCATTTCTTTCAAATTCCTTTTAGGTTTTCGTCGAGGAGGTGATCTTTATCGTCACCTCTTCAGATTTTGTTTCTTCATAAATTTTTGTTTTCATTTTGTAAATCCCTAAATTTCGTCGACAATGGCTTCTGACAATCTCACCGACAAAACCATTGTTTTCAGAAAACTGAAATCAAAATCTGAGAACAAGGTTCGATTTTTTTTTCTGAATTATCTCCACCTTTCTTCTGCAAATTGATGGTTCTTTGTTCTCTGAGAATCGCCTATTTGATCCGTGTATGTCTAGATCTGGGCTTTGTTTGACTAGATCTTCGTTTTCGTATTGCGATTTCTAGGTATGCTTCGATTGCAGTGCGAAGAATCCGACATGGGCATCGGTTACATACGGAATTTTCCTCTGCATCGATTGTTCAGCTACTCACCGGAGCCTCGGTGTTCATATCAGCTTCGTCAGGTAAGATTTGATTCGATTCAGCATCTGATTCGATTCTTCAGCATTGTTCTAGCTTGATTCTGGCTCGAGTTTGGGATTTTGATGGCATGATAGGTTTAGTTCTGAAAATGTAGCATTAGGTTGACTTTTGCATTTATCGTCATCACTCGAGTGTAGTTCAACAAAATACAAAGATCAGTCATTGTTTCAGAATTTTTACTTCTAATTCCAAATCGTCGATCCATTGAATCTGGTTCCATGTCTTATTGGATTGAATAACGCCACATTACGTTCTCAAGATGCTACATTGTTGTAAATTCTCGGTTTTGGTGTAGATCTACGAATTTAGACTCATGGAGCCCTGAGCAGCTCAGGACAATGATGTTTGGTGGCAACAACCGTGCTCAGGTGTTCTTCAAGCAACATGGATGGACCGACGGTGGGAAAATCGAGGCCAAGTACACTTCAAGAGCTGCTGATTTGTATAGGCAGATTCTTGTTAAGGAAGTTGCTAAAGCCATTGCAGAAGATACTACTACTGGTCTACCTTCATCTCCCGTTGCTGCTTCTCAGCTACCTGAAGCATCTAATGGAGTTGTTTCGTCTTCTGCTGTCAAGGAAGAGTTACCTCCTAAAGAAAGTTCTTCTCTGAAACATGAAGCTACTAGTGCCACTTCTTCGCCTAAAGCTTCTAATACAGTTGTGCCTAGTACGTTTAAGAAACCTATCGGTGCTAAAAGGACAGGAAAAACTGGTGGTCTTTGTGCACGGAAGCTTACTACTAAGGTAAGTCTCGGGCTGTTTCTTGGAACATTGACGTTTCGGTTCTTCTCTTGTTCAAATTGAAATATCTGTTTTTGTTTGTTTGGTCAAAATGCAGCCAACGGTGAATCTCTATGAGCAGAAACCTGAAGAAGTTGCACCGGTTATTCCTGCTGCATCTTCAGTTAACAATGGCGGAAGCAAATCATCAGCTGGTTCATCATATGCCTCTCGGTTTGAGTACAATGACGATTTGCAATCTGAAGGACAAAGCGTTGGTGGTACACGAGTTCTTAGCCATGTTGCTCCACCAAAGTCATCAAGCTTCTTTGCGGATTTCGGAATGGACAGTTCTTTCCCCAAGAAATCAAGCTCCAACTCGTCAAAAGCTCAAGTAAGTTTGTTGTATTCTCAGAAAGAAAAATAGTAAATCTGTTTCCCAACCCTCTACTAAACTGTTTTCTTCTTCTTTCTTACTAGATTGAAGAATCCGATGAAGCAAGAAAGAAGTTCACAAACGCAAAGTCCATTTCGTCTGCTCAGTACTTTGGGGATCAGAACAAAAACGCTGATCTTGAATCAAAAGCTACTCTTCAGAAGTTTTCAGTAAGTAGCATTCCACACAGTTTCAAAGAAACTTTCTCATTCCTTGGATTCTAATGCTTATGTGGGAAATTACAGGGCTCAGCATCTATCTCAAGCGCTGATTTTTTCGGTCATGACCAAGATGATTCCAATGTTGATATAACTGCTAGTGATCTCATTAACAGGCTTTCTTTCCAGGTAAAAGATCCCGGACTTCAAAATCTCTACATCTTCTTCTAGATTTTAGCATTTTTTTGATGAATGTCTAATTCCAAATGATTGATCAGGTACAACAAGATATCTCGTCGATAGTGAACATAGCAGGCGAAACAAAGAAGAAGCTTGGAACTTTAGCTTCTGGTATCTTCAGTGATCTTCAAGACAGAATGCTGTAAGAAGAAACACGAGCTCTCTCATGTTTTTTTTTTTTTTTTTTAAATATATTTTACAGAGAAAAAGAAAAAGAAAAATCTTTGCCCGAAACTTCCAATGAAGTTCTCGTTTCTCTGGTTTTCTAGAGAGCTTTTTGAGAAATTGAGACATGGCTCTTGTTGTTATATGGATATTATTGCATATGTCATAGACTTTTATTAATCTTTTTTTTGTTTGAAGAAAAAAAAGTAGATTAAATCGATTTAATTGTTATTGATTACAACGTGTTTTTGATTGTTAATCCTCAAAACGATATAAAGATTTTATGGTTCTGCAAGATTTTTATTTGATCTTGCAAGATTTGGAACTCATCAAAGATTGAAGATTTTATGATTCTGCAAAATCATTAGTCACACATGTCCTGCACATGTAACAGTATAAAATGAAAATAATTTCGTATTCTGTATTTCTTTTCAACTTAATAAGATTGATTTTTGGCGTTTATGTATATTATGTTTTCCAAATTTTAAAATTTGTTTTGCTTTTTATGGATACAGAATTAAGAATACTTAATTGTAAAATCATCTCCTACATATCTTACCAATTAAGTTTTAAGATTTATGGTTGACTGAGCTGTTATTATCCTATTTTTGTATAAATTTTATAATGTCAAAAAAAGAAGTCAATTTTATAGTATTAATTTTTAAATGTATATCACTACCAAATAATTATTTAATTTATAGTTGACTGAGGATATTGTGACAATAAAAAATATCAGAAAAGAGTCAAAATCCGATGTTGACCACCGACCTTGGAAACAAATTCACTATCTGAATCGGAGATTGGATACTCTTTACAGTTTTACGGTTTTATATAATTTTCAACTTCGGGAGATAAAATAAAAAAAAAAACCTAAAACTCCCTCGCAATTCCGTGTTCCCGACGGGATTTTTGAATTGTCGCAGCGGAAAATCGACTTTTCGCCTCCCAACGATTCGTTTTCTTCATCAAAGAAACCCTAATTCTCGTTCAGAAATCGAACTTCGGGACTGAATAGGATGTTAATGGCTGATTCCGACGTATCGTCATCGGTTATACATCGCTCGCCGTTAATACCCAACCCAGTCGAAACCCTAGACGAGTCTTCTTCACCAATCGCGTCGATTGGTGCCCATGCTGTTCAGTCGCTGGCTCTTTCGTCGCCGAATCGAGATCGCGATGACGACGATCTGGGTTCGCTCTCGACGGAGCCCTCAACGCCGCCTCGGAATTCAGTTGGGTCTTCCTCTGCTCCGTTGAACGAAACCCTAATCTTCTCTTCTCCGGTAAGCTCTGAGCGCGGCGAGTGCAATGATACTCAAATCGTGTCGTCAGAGTCTCAGAATCAACCTGAGGGCAATGATAACAACTCGCTACAAATGATTGAGAGTACTTCGCAAGCTCAAGACGAAATCGACGAAATATTCAAGGATCCATGGACGTCCAATGGATACGAAACTGACGATGACTCTTCAACGGACTGGAACCAGGGCTTGAAGTGGTGGAGGAAACAACCTAGCAAACCCATGTGGAGATGCATGCCAGAACCTATGAAGATCGCTGGTGTGGTATGTCTCTGAATTTCGTTTTTCAATATTTTAGGGTTTTTTTCTCCCTTTGGTTGCGATTTGATTCTGAATACGATTTTGGCATGGAACTTTGGTAGGGTGCTGGACTTTGGAATTTAGGCAACAGCTGTTTCGTTAACTCGGTTTTGCAATGTCTCACTCACACTGTGCCTCTTATCGAGAGCCTTTGTTTATCCAAGTCTCAAGATCCCTGTAACTGTAAGGCTCACTCTGCACAATGTGGCTTTTTAACATAACCTTGTGATGATCCTTATACATCAATAAATTCTTTGAATTTTGAAGGTGGCAATGTGTTCTGTGTAAGAAAGACTCTTCGAGGTCATATCATTGGTGCACTGACGACTTCAGAATATTCAATTTCTCCGTTGCTTTTCCTCAACAATCTCTGCTGTATCCTTCATAGTCAATAGCTGCTGTCATTATGTTTTATAGCATGTTTTCTGGATATATTGCTTTTGGCTGCATAATTTGCAGTGATGATTCTCTGAGTTTTTTTTGTTGTTCTCGGATGTATTGTTTATCCTTAAGCTACCACAGATTTTTCGCCTGACTTCCGGCGTTACCAACAAGAAGATGCCCATGAGTTTCTACAGGCGTTTCTTGATAAGTTGGATAGATGTTGTTTTGATCCAAGAAGTGACCGTGGCGATGCCTCTTCTCAAGATGCTAACATTGTTCAACATGTCTTTGGTGGTCGTCTCGTCAGTGGGGTAAGAAGTTAACTCTTAACCATACGTTTGGTCAAGCGATTTTCGGTATGAAACATGTGTGCATTTCTTTTTTTCTTTCCAGCTTCGTTGCTGCAGCTGTAACTCTGTTTCTGAGACGTTTGAAGAATCTCTTGGGTTGAGTTTGGAGATTGAAGATGTGGATGACCTTTCAAGTGCACTGAATTCGTTTACCCGTGTGGAGAAATTAGAAGAGCAATTGACGTGTGATAACTGTAATGAACAAGTTTCAAAGGAGAAACAACTCCTGCTCGATAAGCTGCCATTAGTTGCCACATTCCATCTCAAGAGGTTCAAGAATAATGGATATTTTATGGAGAAGATCTTCAATGATGTCCGGGTTCCGTTGGAGATAGACTTGCAGCCATATATGAGTAGTAACCAGGAAAACGAAGTATGTGAAACTCTCTCTCATCACCCTTTTAAGTGCTCAAAAATTTGTAATTTATCTTAAGAGCGCACACTTTGACACGCACTTCATTTCTTTCTGCCTTCAGGTTGCTACAAAATATTATCTTTATGCTCTCGTGAAGCATTATGGGTCATTAGTTTACGGTCATTACGTATCCTATGTGAGGTCAGCCCCAACGATATGGCATAGATTTGACGACAAGCAGGTGATATATCTAGTGACTTTGGTTGATTCTAAAAGGCTAATTAGATGATTTTCATGAATGAACCTTTCTCTTGTTGTGTGTTTCACAAACCTCGGCAGGTCACTAGAATCGAAGAAGATAGTGTGTTAGCAGACGATTCATATATTCTTTTCTATGCAAGAGAAGGGACTCCCTGCTTTTCTACAGCTTATGAAGAGGTGCAGCCACTGCTTGAAGCTAGCTTACAATATTCTTCGCCAAAGTCTGTCCTTGATCCTACCAACGGGGAGTGTTTATCTGAAATTAGCTATGAGAATGTCTATCAATCCAAGAAACAAGATGTCAAGACAGACGAAAATCCTGTTTCCGTCTCTAATGAGGCAGACGAAGATGTGTATCTATCAAGTGGCGAGGATTTTCCCATGGAAGAGCTTTTGGACATGTCTGATGATTCTTATAATCCATGTCTTAAGAAGAAAGAACCAGATTCCTTTTTAGCCTTTGAAAGAGCTGCCACTGGTCATGATGATTCTGTTCCTCTGCTCATGGCTCAAAGTCAAGACTCTTCCGGTAAGGAAGATTGTTGAAACTTTCTAACCGAGTTTTTACGTTTTCCTTCTACACATAAGTGTAAAACTTATGAAACTTAGTTCTTACCTGGTCTGTGTGTGTGTGTGTGTGTGATGATTTTGCAGAAGGGACTTTCCAGATTCAACACGAGCAAATGGAACTTGCAAAGAATCAAGAAGAAGAAAAAGCTTGCAGGCAGCCATTAGTAATAGACCTCTCGAGGAAACCTTTACCTCGTGCTAGACATTTGGACCAAGCCATATCTAGAATTGGTTCTCCACCCAAAAAACTAAAAACAGCATGAAAATGTCTTAGCATCTGGACACAAAGGATTGGTGATGACTTTGAGATTAGACTAATCAGGCTTTAATCGTTTTCGGTTTTGTGGATAGTAACTAGTTTCTGCTATCTTTAACAAAAAAAAAAAACTAGTTTCTGCTACTTTGGGTTGACTTGACTTGGTTTATTAATAAAAAAAAAGCTTTGGACTCTGTCAATGTTTTTTGGTTTATTTTTTTGCTTATCCGACGATTTATACCGCTCTTTTGTTTCAACTCCAAAGACACCAAATTTTCTTTTCTTGATCGTTTCAATTCCAACTACCAATGATTAGACCTTTGCACTGTATAAAGGAATTATTAGGAAGTTCACAGCAATTGGTTAGTGTAATAAAAGCGGACCGGTTTGGTTTACGTCATTTTGACCTCTTCCCTAACATATTTGAAATGAATTTAACAATCCTATTAAATACAGTGTCAGTAAAAAAAGCTGAAGATTATTGGACTATATACTAGTCTTTTGTCGGATCTCGTCGATCGGAGAGACAATAAATAAATACAACTAGTCTATGAAAGTATTTTATCTTGGTGCGAGTCTGCTCTTTCTTTCGTTTACATGGTTAATAAACGAAAAAAATTTACAGTCGAAAACAAAAAAATGAAAGAAATTGTACCATTTTAGAAAATTTAATAAAGAAAATGGGAATGGTCGATAATCAGCGGGTCCACCGGGGTCAGATTTGGCGTGCCGTATCCAAGTGCTTCACAATTTTGACTAAACCTTTCAATATTTATGATTTTTATTTTTTTAGTATTTTAGTTTTAACGTCAAGGAAATACTCGTGTTTATATGTTTTTAAGACGATTCGTGTTAAAACCAAAAGTTAGCATGAAATTTATATGCGTAATGTGAATTACTATATTGTAATATTGACTAACGGATTAATTGCTTCATATTTGACCAAACGTTCCATTTTATTTTTGCTAGTATTTTAGATTTTTTTTCTTACTAATTCAGAGTAGAAATAGAAAGCGTAAGTACCTCGTGTTTTAAGTTTTAAAATGATATTTCCTCGCAGGTTTATTATAATCTGTACCAAAGTTCACATAAAATACATAATGTAGTTATGTGCGTAATGTGAAATACTAAAATGGAATACTGATCATGGAATGTGATCAACGAAAACAGTTATTTTAATTTAAAAAAAAAATTGCACAAAAATTTTTTAAAAAAAAAGACAAATTATCTATGAAAAGTAAGAAAATAATGTGGATTGGGACTGTCGAAATTTAAAAGTCAAGTGGTGTTCTTTTTCAAAGTCAATGGACAATAAAACGCAAATGAAGACTTGTGCGTTCCTTTTTAAATGACTGCACACATTTTTCAAAATTGTCACAAACATATATTTTTTTTTTACAAGAACATAAAAAATACAAAGATACTTCATTAGCACCAATTGATGATTTGTGCTATAAATAGTTTCAGTTTTGAAGAATTTTTTATTAAATATGTTTCAACTTTTCTATTGAAAAAACCAAATTGGCATCTTCCTCATCTACCATCATGCATGACAAATGAATAAAAGCTGTTATTATCATATGACGTATATACAATGCATATTATATGTTTTCCTTTTAATTTATTTCCTTGTCGTCATTCTTTTAAAAGCATTTTAAATACTAAAGACACACTATAGGATCCATAAGGTTGCAACAATGATTTCTCATCGGGCCAACAAATTGTATAACCGCATGAAACATGGTGGTCTAATTAACAACGCAATGAGTAAAATCTTATAATAATAATAATACATTAATTTAGATAAATAATTCCGGGCTTTACCAATCGAACTTAATTAGAGTAACAAAATTGTGGTTGATTCAATATGTAAGAAGAGAAATTTGTTCATCAAATCTGATTCATCTATAATATTACGTTTAGGGAACACATTGGTTTAACGAAACAAAATGTACTTTCATATCAGACGAGACATGACAACGATTAAAAAAGCTTTGAATATATATAAAAATGTAAGTTATGTGTATATAAATATGATTTTCTATAATCAAAGGACATGAGTTTAAAATGGAATTTCCTTTTCAAATGATGCATATAGGAATAGTTAGTACTGACTTTGCTATGTTTATTTACCTAATTAAATGGGAACAGCAACCAAACTCAAGCACTAATAAACAAAAGGGTGTGTCATTATATAATCACCCATCTTTTGACCTAAATTTCTGCATTAATTTCCTCTTTATTAATTATATCTGAAATGCATAAACAAGTACAGATGGATTAGGTTATTATGTCCAATTCATGAGCCTGTCTCCGCTTACTTCTCGCTTTAAAAGCTATAACATTGGAATCTAATTATTGATATCATCCATCTTCTTTATATATATATATATATATATCATCCATCTTCATATAATATATATAAAGATGACAAAAATACGAATATATCATATATACAAATCTACACCAATAATAAGAACAAAGTAAAGTGCGATTCACACTTGTTCCAACTCATACGTATGCACATATACCATAGATATATGTGCGTGCACTTACATACATATACATGTACATATGTAATATGTTTCCATCATAGGCTCATGGCTCTAATTTTTTAAAAACACATAATTCCGAAATGATTTTGTAAGTTTTTACCTTATACATAAACGTGATTTTTGCTCAACAGATATATTCTATTTTTTTTTCTTGTGTTTTCTCATTTCCGAACGGTTATGTTATTTGACTCTATATCGGATCAAAGTGAATACCATTCATGTTATATTATAACTGTTTTTGGACACAATGGGTTTTGGGTAGTTGGTTGTGTATCGAGAATTGTGATGGATTAATTTGTTTTACCACAAAATTGCATGACATGTGCCATGACTAAATTTACAAATATACAGACATATATATAATTAGTTATATAGGTATTTTAATTAGTATTATTCAAAATTTGGATAAGAAAAACAAGTAAAAAAAGAAGAAGAGAGACCACCTGATGGAAAAAACAAAGAACACATAATGGGATTGTAAAGGATAGATGAGATGTCAAGCTACAATAATGGAGCAATAGTTTTCTCCACTTGGCTAATATAATATCCAACACGAAAAACTAACTTTTCCCATATAGAATTAAAAAAAACTAAAAGTTTAATTAAAACTCCATATCAATAACAAAAAGAAAATTCTTATTATCTACAAAATGCTTAATGTGTAACCAAACAATAATGTTGTGCTGTATGGCTATGTAACATAAAGAAAATATTAACTCGTATTTAAGATAAGTCCAAATAATGACAGAAACATATTTTCAAAAATAAAAAAATACATTTTTTGAAAAAATATAATAAAATGTTCTTAATAAGTTAAAAGAGTCAAATGGGTAAAAATAGTTATAAGATTTAAATAATATTGTTTAAGATTTGTTTAAGAGAATATCGCAAAAAGATATGGAAAACCGATATTCTCATATTGGAATAATATAAAACTAAATAATTTTTTTTTTAGCATAATTGAAAAATAGAAGGAAAGACGAAGGAGGTTCGGTTGGTCGACTTTGCTAAGATAAGAGAGACTGACTCTCTTTTCTCCTTCCCCATTCTTCTCTCTCTTAACCTTCTCTGCAAAAGAAAACTTCTCACACTTTCTCTCTCTAAAACCCCTTTCTTTCTCTCTATAGAAAAAAAGTTCGAAGCTTTACTCGAAAAATACTCTCTTTTCCCCCCACTGCAATTAGGTTTCTCACGAAAATGGCGATCGAGGATCAAGAGAACACTATCCGCGAAATCAAGCCTAAGAACAGGAGAATAATGGTATTTCAAACAATACCCTTTCTCTAGATTTTCTATTTACTTCGTCTTGTTTCTTCTCTGTTCTCCAAATGTGCAATGGTTTTTGTTTTAAGATTCGATTTCTTTCATTTTACTCGATTTTTCTGGGTTAGTTGTTTTTGATATTTTTTCATTGAATTTGAAATTCAAAAATTTTGGAGAATGACGAAAAGTAAAATGAAGTGGTTCTAATTCGGGTTCTTCATTTAAGTTGCTCTGTTTCGTGTACCTAACAAAAGGATTTTATTTTATTTTGAAGAATCCGAACAATGCTCTTTTGGAGAAGTTTTCATTTCTTTTTTTCAGGCTCGATTCCGTTAGTTATTATACTTTATTTGGTGTCACGAATCGGTACAATATGCTTCTTTATCAATATACCAAATTTATACTTTTAACTCACTCAGAATCCAGTGAAATAGTGAGTACGAATCTAGAACATTTCTGGGTTTAATACGATTCCCTTTTAAAATTAAAACAAAAAAACAAAAGTAGAGAATCAAGTTTCAAACTTATCCCACAAGACGAAATCAAAGAATTGAAATGAGGAGTTTTATGAACTTCAATGGTGGTTTAAGAGAAATGTTGAAATGTTCTCTTGAGGTACATCTATATATAACCATATACCATATGTTAAAAATATACATCAAAATTGAAATTTTGGTTTTTGGTGTAGGGAGCTGGTGGACCGGAGGAGGAAGATAACCGGTGGCCGCCATGGCTCAAACCTCTGCTTAAAGAGCAATTCTTTGTTCATTGCAAGTTTCATGGAGACTCTCACAAGAGTGAATGCAATATGTATTGCTTAGACTGCACCAATGGCCCGCTCTGCTCTCTTTGTCTAGCCCATCACAAGGATCATCGCACCATTCAGGTAACGTTCTTGCGTTAATCATAACTAAGATTCATCAAAAGGATTTCGATTTGTTTTTGGTTGAGGTCTTGAAATTTGTCTTGATTGGTTTTTGGCAGATAAGGAGATCTTCTTATCATGATGTTATAAGGGTGAATGAGATACAAAAGTATCTTGATATAACCGGGATCCAAACTTATGTGATTAATAGTGCTAAAGTCGTCTTCTTGAACGAGAGGCCTCAGCCTAGGCCAGGGAAAGGCGTAACCAATACCTGCAAGGTTTGCTATCGTAGCCTCGTCGATGATAGCTTCCGCTTCTGCTCTCTTGGCTGCAAGGTACATTTCAAACTTCTCTCATTTTTTTGTTGAGTCAAAAGGAAGAAACTTTTGCTATTAGTTGGCTTTCCCTCTTTACACGTTCAAAATAGCAAACCAATCAGTAGATATAGAACTTTGAGATTTTAAACTTATGGTTTCACCTAACACTTTCTTGCATTTTGGGTAAATAAATATTCAATTCAATTCCCTTTTTCACCGCCTGAGAAAAGATCAAAACTTTTGAAATGGGTCATCCTCAAAATTTGATTTATCTTTATACAGTTTCACCTAACTTTTCCAAGCATTTCGGTAAATTCTTGTTTAGTCTTTGTAGAAAGAAAAGATTGGAACTTTGAATTAAGCTATTCTCTTTCTCGGAGTCATTATCTGATAAAATTGATTTTCTCTGTGTTTTTGAAATTGAAATCAAGATTGCTGGATCGTCAAGAGGCTTTGAAAAGGGAAGGAAGCACCTTGTGATGGAATCAGAGGATTCAAGTAGCAGCATTGGAATTGGGAAGAACATTTCAAATCTCCAGAGTTTCAGCCCATCAACACCTCCTCTTACTATAACTAGTAATTGCAGAATCGCCAAGCGAAGAAAGGGAATCCCTCACCGATCTCCAATGGGATAAAAGAAGAAGAAGCAAAAGTGTTAAAAGCCAAGACAAAAGCTTTTGCCATTTGCCAGTTTCTTGATCTATAAGATTACACACAAAGGTTTAGCTAAATACAGACGCTTTTGTCTCTTTATCTTTTCTCATATACCGAAAGAAATGGTCTCTTGCTTGTGTTAGCTAAAAAAGGCCTTAACTTAGGTTTTGTCCTACTAATGGAAGTCTGTGAATATGTAATGTGATTGTATATTTATGTGATGCAAAAAGGGTAGGAAGGGAAATATAGGGCCTTAAAGGGGTAAAAAATGGGAATAAAACAAAATTAGTTTTTGGTTTTCATTTATGTACGCATGGTGTAAATTTGGTTTGGTTAGGTGCATACATGGATCTCGAACAACAAATAAATAATGAGATTTCCTACCTTTATGTTCATCCGTTTCATTCGCTCAAAACATACTCTAACACAGTCTCCTTATACTCATAAGTCATCACCCATATAGAAAGTAATTTCAAAGCTCATTTATCATCGCTTCTCCTTCTCATTCTTCTATCTCTCAAAACCAGCACATGTCTCTCTTCAGACTTCATCCAAACTCTTTGGAAATGTTTTTCTCTCAATAGACATCTCATCAACAGCAATTGATTCCTCAATTTTACAATCATTCCACTATATCCTTTATTCATGGATTTTACCTTTCTTTTTAGCATTCGTTGTTTCCTCATTCTCGCTTGCATCATGCTCCACTTCATTTCCTTTTTTTTCTTCTGTTCTAATTTTCATCATGCTTAGTTTCATTCCTCTCACTTTCATGTGATCTATGTAGCTTTCAATGTTCCCATCACCAAAACAACAAAAACTAAATCAATTATTTAGTTTGGGTGGTTTAGAGTTTATAGTTTGGAGGTTTCCCAGTATAACTTTAATATTTTAAAAGAAAATTGTTTAAGTGGTTTTTTTTTTAATAATAGTTAAGTTTATTCGTTATAGAACTTTTATGGGGCATTGTGTTGGAAAGCAATTGGTGGGGAAGGTGTAATTTGCTTTATCTTACTTCAAGAAAGGGAACCAATTTAAAATTGGAATAAGAGAGAAAGGAGAAGAACATATGCCTAATTTTCTTAGTTGGTATATAATTTTTTTTTCAATTAATATACAGTTATATGGAGAGGAGCTAAAATTGGGGAGTGAAAAAAAGGGAGAACACCTAACTAAAACTCTTACTTTTATTATTATTATTTTTTTTGAATTGTATCCAAACAAAGGAAACATTTTACAATCAATGCTTCTTTGCATTTAGTGTAGTTATTGAGCTTACATTAGAAGTGGATTATGAGTTGTTGGATCTTTCTTCTTCTTTAAGGGGATCTTGTGGCAAACAACTTACTAAGGCCATTTTCATATGCTAGTTTTCCTGTTATCTAAATTGAATTTATGCGATTTCAGATATTTTTGTCGATGATCTTACTGAAACGGGAAGAGGGAATTGATTGTTCTCCATGTCGAACGAACGTTTCTCTCTCGCCATGATATAGTGTTGCTTAAAAATCAAATACATATAATTTTTACGTTTAATGGTGTAGACAAACCCGGTTAAAACCGTGGGAAAAGAATTAATTCTAAAAGTTAAATAATGTACCTTAGCCAACGAAAAGCATACCATCTAATATAGTAATTTTTTGGTATTTTACAAAAAAAAGAAAGAAACTTCAATAAGATTTACATTGTAATAAAATGAATCTAATGGTATGCCATAATCGCGATATTATTATATTAGAAAATTCTATAAAATCAAATAAATATCCATATAACATATATAAAGACCGTGAAAATTCAAACCTCTAAGAGAAGATGTATGTATCGTTAGGAAAAAAAAAAAGAAATGAAATGATGAATGTATGTGCATCCATTATATATATGTATGAGTATAAATTTTCTCAAAGTGTAAATACAAAGTAGGTTTAGCCGTTTAGGATCCCCTAGTCATTCCTTGAGTCCCAAGAACCAATCCACCACTTGAGAATGATCTTTTCAAGTCTAAAAGCTTCACTCTGTTTCCATTTTCAAGATCATAACTTTCCTCTTCATCTTCTCCTTCTCTGCTCATCCGCAGAACAATATCTGCGGCCGAGAATCGTCGTGGATGATGAGAACTTATCGAAACACTAACCTCTTCACGGTGATCAAGAACGATTACATTTCCTTCTGCTGATCCAGCATTGCTAGCAAAACGATCAAGATTCATCACCACAAAGAGATGATCTGGTTCTTGAGTGCTAGGGACGATGATCTTAGCCCGACAAAGCGGACAATTTGAGTGAGATTTGAGCCACCGATCAATACAAACGACGTGGAAAATGTGGTTGCATCTAGGCAATAACCTTAAGCTCTCGTCTTCGTTAAACTCTCCAAGACAAATGGAACAATCCGTACCGTTGATCTTGAGCCCGTTTTGATGCTTCTTCAGCTTGAAAAACCCGATCTTTTTTATGAGGGCATCGTCCAAACCGGTGTTTGAAGACTGATCATGAGCAAAAGAGTTGTCTTGATCATGACTTTCCGGCGAGTTAACATCGATAATCACATCAGATCTTCCTGTTTCCGAGACAGCTTCATCGTTTGTGTCGGTGGCGCAATACTTTGAGACAAGAGTGTAGTAAGTTGCCAGAAGAAAGGCACTTCCAAGGATTCCAATAATGGCGATGACAAGAGGAGAAACATTAGGGTTTGATGAAACTCCGTCGTTTAGGAGTTGTTCATAGGAAGAAAGTGGTGGTGGAGAGAAGTTGATGTAACTACACCATTGAGGACAAAATGTGGAACAAAAGCCTTGAGTACAGTCTCTTGGATTTATATATTGATTCAAAGCATTAGGATTTGGATCGGTCTCCATGAAAGAGGAAAAAAATAAGAAAAGAAAATTAGATCATCGAGAGATTAATCAAAAATATTGTTACTACATTGATAAGTGTTATCTTTCATAAATATACGATAATCAAAAATCATTGAATATATGAAGGATGTAAGAAACTGGACTTTTTTTTTGGACAAACCGTGATGAATATATCGGTTATATATGTGGAATGTATGAAATTTAATATGTTATAATATACAAGAGTGATTTTGGTTTGTATATGAGAAGCTTGCTTTGTTCAGTTTTTGTTGTTGTTCTTTCCATGCTTTTTTATTCTTTTAATGTGGCTTTAACTTTGTTCTTTAGTTCTTTTTTCTTTTCTTTTGATAACATAATTGGCTTGTTGACTAAGATATCTAATGTGGTCCGTAAATATATAAGGTAGCTTTAATGTTATTGTCATTTGATTCTATTTGACAACATTACCCGTGACATGTTACGTATTTGGTTGTAAGGATAAGCAACATTAAAACCCTTCACTTGTCTTTTAATTCTCTTGAGATCAGTTTTGCCACTTGTTATAATATTTGATTGTTTCAGTTTGAAATGCATGATAATCAAATTTAATGTCCTAATATATTTACTTGAAACATCCAATCAAATGTACAAAAAATGAACATTGGTTCTTTTTAAAAATGAGAAATACACTAAAATATCATACATTTAGGGGTAAATATTTTAGTTATTGCGTAAAATATCATATGTATATCTCAATGCGTAAAGTATCATAGGTATATCTTAATGCGTAGATCACACTGTAGCTATTGAGGCATGCAATTTCCATTATTGATACATCTACAAAATGGATTTAAAAATTGTCTTACCTGGTATATCCCAAGTATACCGAGATAGTATTTCGGTGTTAGCTAGAGTCTAGGTAAGCCTGTATTGATTTTTTTTTTTTGTCCACCAAATGGCCAGTATTGACAATTGGAAATTGTTTTGTTTCTCCTTTATTTCAATACTTGAGTGAAAAATTGAGTCAGTTGGAGTTGGAGATTATGAGATATTACGATTTACTTATTTATCTTTTGTAGTTTATTTTAATTAAAAAAATTAAAAAAAAAATAAAAAATCAATCTCAGAATTCAAATTTGGCTGATATGTTAAATAAATCTTGAATATAAACCGATTTTATATGGAAATCTTTTGACATGCTCGGATTGGGTAGTTATGTGAATATGCGATTAAGTAATGCTAAGTTGGGTTTTAGACAACAAGGTTCGAGAAAGTTACATGAGATGAAGGCGAGATCTCATTTATGGCCATTGGTGAATGTTGTTGACGAATTAGAGGCCATAAGTGTGAGTTTGACTGGTATTGGTCAAAACCGGCATGTAAGGAATGCATCGGTGAATTTTACATTGAAATCTATTGGTATAGTCTAGTCGGGTATTTGGCAAATATGGCATATGTTCTCGAATTTTAGAAGTCATGTTTCAGAATCATTTTTAACAATCTACATTCATTTTTTTAGTTAAAGTAATGTGAAGTGCATTTTGGAGTTTCATCAGTAAGATGATAGCCAACAAAAAAATATATGAAAAAGAGACATAATTTGTTAGTCTATAAAATTATTTCCAAAAGAATAACATGGTTACTCTCCACTCTTTCATCGAAATTGTTCAATTTCTCTTATTTACGTTAACGGTTGTATTAAGAATGCTTCTAGATCTTGTAAACTATATCAATATATTTAATTTGTCGGAAAAAAATGAACCAGATTTTTAACAAAGAGTCTTTCACCAAAATAAATAACCAAACCAAAATCTAAATAATCAAGTACTCTACATCTCTACGCGTAATGTTTACATACGGTATAATCGAAATAATAAACTGTGTCTTTGGAACTAAAGATGAGACCATAGTTGGTGACTTTTATCTTATATCGACTGTCTTCTAATTTGTTTAGAAAATTCGACACTTTTTTTTGGTCTTTAACGTCACCAGATTAGAGACTGACTATTCAGACATTTTCCAAAGCTACCACTCTCAGCATTATAATTAGCGACACCTGTAACACGTGGTTAAATACATAATCCAAAATTGTAGCTTTAGGTTTATCGACCGTCTATTACATTTTTGTTAGCATGATATAATATATTATTACATTTTTTTTTATATTTGGAGGTAAATCTCAGGTTCTTCGGGTCCAGACTAGTCCCTTTAGATCCAAAGGCAAACTTATTGAAAAAGAAGGGGTTATATGACACCCCTTAAATCTATATACTGTTGATATTGTATAAATATTTAACCAGATTCTTCTAGCATAAGTGGTAAATGTGGATTTGTGACACCTTTTTCTAGGTTCGAACCTTAGTAATGACACTATTTTGATATTTATAATTGTTTTAGCTGATACTTTGACACTGTATTAAAAGATTTCTAGGTCTGCCATTGCTTAGACACAACATCATTTTTATGTAAGTCCAAGTTGCAACTCAAATGGTTAGGTGGCTAAGAGTTAATGTGGTAATTCCGCATTCAGGAAAATTTGATCTTATTAACTCTTAGCTACCTGACCATTTTTATACAATTAATTTTTAACAAATTTTTATACAATTAATTAAAGTGTCTAATTATTATATCAGTAGCTTTTATTAGTGTTTTACAATATACATTCAAAGCTTATGATGATTTTTTGATGTGATAATTGATTTTCTTATATGTAAATATTTTTAAACGTATTGTAGTGTTATCATCAATTTTATCATTACTAATACGGATAGTAGCTATGATATTTTTATAAATTTTAAATTTATGAACATGTATATTTTTACATGGACAATCTAATATAGTATTAAAATTTGTTTTATTATGATAGTTATAATTGTTAATCATAATTTGCATTACAAAATTTTTTAAAATTTTAAAATATAACATTATTTCAAAAAAAATTTTAGAAAATTATAAGTAGAAAATATTTTTTTTATATAAATTAATATTACGATAAATTAATAAAATATTATGGTCGCGACGCGACATTATTAATTTATAGAGGTTTTACTAATGTATGTTCATATATTTGAATGTAGTTTGGTTGGTTAAGTGTTTCCTTAGACAACTCGTAGGGTTTAGACTTTAGATCAATTATGAGGTCCGGATGGTGGGATAATATCCGGTTCTGTTCACATGAAAAAAACCTTCTGAATGCAAAAGAATCAGACTTTATTCTATTTCATGATACATAAGTACATCACACACTTTCACTTGCAAAACTTGTGTGTTAAGATCGTCAGACCTGAGTCAGTTTCATTTTAGCTTTAGCCATCTTTGCTTCACCATAACACCCCGACATCCTTAAACCGGACAAAACCGCTCGTCTAGCTGATGCCGGAATCTTAATCCCTTTACTGTAACACGACAAGAGCAGCTTCGAAGCACAAACAAACCTCATGTCTTTACATAGACTATGCACAACCGAAGTGTAAGTATACTCATCTTTCACTTCCATCGAATCAAACAACCTCATCGCACGGTCTACATGACCAGCTTTACACAACCCATCCACCAAACAGTTACACGTCACAAGATTCAACCCAATCCCCATCTCTCGGCCCATACTTACAAAACGCCTCTCAGCTTCTCTACTCTGTCCTGTCCTCAACAATCCGTTGACTATAATCGTGTGCGTATACTCATCTGCTTTCAATCCTCTCCGCTCTATCTCCTTTAACAAATCATCCACCGCTTTCAAATTCCCGTCTCTAAAATACAGATTCAACAATGTGTTGTACGAAACTATGTCATGTCTCCTACCTTTCCTAACCAGCTCTTCCATATACTCGTAGGCCTCTCTCGTTCTTCCCGTTTTGATCAGAGCACTAATCACCGCGAAATACGCATAACCATCATAAGTATAACCTTCTCTTTTCATCTCCAAAAACAATTGAAGCCCTCTTCGAATCCTCCTGGTCTTGAAATACAGCTTTAGTATCGTTGTATATGTGACTGCGTTGGGAGTGTAACCAGATTTCTTGAGCTCTGTTAGCATCCATTTCGCAGTACCTACCCTCCTGGATTTACAAAGCCCGTTGATAAGAATGTTAAAAGTCATGAGCTCAGGTTTAAACTTGCTCTGCATCTCTTTGAAAAGCTCAAGAGCATTGTCTATATAACCACACTTGCAGAGAGCATCGAGGAGGACGTTGTATGTATCTGGACCGGGGTTAAGTCCCGCGAGGTGAAGATCCTTGTAAAGAACACGAAAGGCTTCTTCTTGTTTCCCTAGCTTGAAGTAACAACACATCAAAGTGTTGTAACTCCATAGATCAGGATATATACCCCATTCAAGCATTTCGTCGAACAGGTAGAGGACACGATCTAACATTAGTCGTCTCGCTGCTCCGGCGATTAAAGAGTTATACGTGGCGACGTCTGGTCTTATTCCGGCGTCTCTCATCCTGCGAGTCACGGCGTAAGCTTCTTCGATTCCGACGAATCGGCAATACCCACTGATCAGTGTGTTGTATGTGACGACATCAGGAGCTACGCCTAATCTGATTCCGTCTGTGATTAATGATTCGGCTTTCTCCAGTTTCCGGAATTTGCAGAGAGAATCAACGCATATGTTCAATAACCTTGTTGATAATCCCGTGAATTTCAGCAACCCAGAGACCATGTTCTCTCGGATTAATCCGAATAAACATAGAAGAAAGGTGGAAGAAGCAGAATTTGCAGCTGGGTTCGTGACATTAAATTAAAAGGTTTCAAGTATGTAGCTCGAGAATGGAGGAAAGTTTTGAGAATTCAGATGCAGATCTCGGCGAAGAAGGTGATGGGCATCGGAGAAAGATGTGATTTTTCAAAGGGAGATCGAAATTTCTCTCCCGGCAACATCTAAGAGAGGTTTGCCTGAACAGTCTTTAACTTTAAGTTTATTTTGCAATTAACCCTAATTTTCATTTTATAAATAAATGGGGTGAGATGTGAAATTGCAAAATATTATGCTTAAAATCGAAAAACAAATAACAAATTCTCCCTTGCAGCATGTGAGAGGGAATTACCAGAACAGTCTTCCACTTCCAAATATATTTACTGAAAATTACCAAACTTTATTTTTTTGTCAAAATTGCCCCTAATTTTATTATATATAAAAAACTTGCGAAAATTTAATCTTCAAAAATGGGTTTTAATCTGTAACTCAATCTGATTTGAAAACTAAAACTTACATTTATAAAGGCGCAATGATAGACTCACAAATTGGGTTCCTTTTCTTGGATCAAGTAAAATCACTCACAATTTGGTTAGCATTACACAATAAATTGTCAAATTGTTCTTATTATTAAACTCCCGAAAAGAAAAAGAAAAAAAGTCACTAATAACACTAATTAACATCTCAAGTTATAGTTCCTAGCTAAAAGACTGTATAATCAATACAACAACAAGAAAATAAACGAACTAATTGTCAAAAAAAAAAAATTGTAGAATTTCTTTAGTGTTTTCAATTTCCCGTTTGTGTAGCAACCGTTTGAGCGGAGACTTCACCAAACCGGCGATGATCATATCCTCTGTTTCTAACAAGTTCAGCGAAAGTAACACAACTCTCTGTCTGGCTATGTCCTCTTGTAACCTTAATCTTCACATGCTCCGGTAATCTCAATGTATACTTATCTTCTTCCTCCGGTTTGTTTCTCACTATCGAATGTCCCGTCGAATGTGACCTCGAGAATTTCTCCGGCAAAGTTTGTTCCTTTTTCGACCTTTCGTTGTTTACGCAACTGCTCTGTCCTGAGGACGGCCAAGTATCAATCGGTGTTGTTGTCTGATGATGATGATGGTGATGACGTTGATCGTCATCGTCGTCGTCGTCGCTGGTTTCTTGAATCACATCGATGATCATCTCATCGACGTTAGGCAGAGTACTTTCTTGCGGCGGAGGAGGATCAAGATCGTGACGACAAACAGGACAAGTTTTGTGAGATTCGAACCAGAGATCGATGCATTCTTGGTGAAACACGTGGTAGCACGTGGTCAAGAGACGAAGCACGTGATCTCCGTCGAATTCGAGCAAACATATTGCGCATTCGAGGCCGTATTTCTCTTCCCGGAGATCTTTAACGGAGGAGTAAGGAAAAGTAGGAAAAGAGTTTATGATTCGAAGCTCGAGGCCAGGATTTACCGGAGGAGGTTCCGGTGGCTGGAGAGGATTTTCGGTTGATCCGGCTTCTCCGCCGTAGTGGAGACGCCAAGCTTGCATCATGGTGTCGAGGAAACACTTGCAGAAATAGAGAGTGAAGAAACCGATGAAGAAGAAGACGAGGAAGATTACGGTGAGGATCACCGTGAGTGGCGGCGTGACGTAATGTTGTGGTGGAGATTGTGGCGGTAAAGGTGATGGAATTGTCGTCGACATTACGTGGCCGGAGACTGGTTATCTCCGCCGTGAGATTTCTCATAAACGAAAATAAAAAACAATAGAGCTAGCTAGAGAAAGAAATAGTTGTTTTTGTTTTGTTTTTGTTTTCAATTAAGAAAAACTGTTTTTGTTTGGATAGTGAATTCGTCTGTGTGTGGTGTGAGAGAAAGAGTGGAAGTTTTGGTTACTAAAAATAAAAAAGTGTGTTTTGGGTTTTTGTTTTGTTTGCTTATTGCTATGCATTGAACGAGTCATGTGTGACATTTGTTTGACGTTAAGCCACTTAACTAACAAGTAACAACTGACTATACTCTTTGAAACAAATCTAACCAAACACAGACTATTTCTTAGGACTAAGGGGCTTAACGTCAAACAAATGTCACAGATTGTTAGCTGTTAATTTAAGACACGTTTGTTTTGCACTAATTTAAGTGGTCTAATTAAAGTCACGTTTTCAAGTTTTGTTAACATCCATTTTAAGCGGGTTTTAACTTGTTTTGCAAATTAATAGTTCTTGCAAAGCACTTAAACCAGGTTCTTGCCGTCCGATGCCGAGGTCCTGGTGAGTCGATTTTTTTGTTGGATTGATTCACTCCTGAAAATTAATCAGACAATATCTAAATGGTCAAATCTGTTATGGTTTTTATCATTTTAATTCAGTCTTGGATCCAAATCACCCAAAATTATTAGGTGATCAAAATCTTCGTTACTATTTTCTTTCCTATATCGTAATCTCTTTACGTATATAGTAATTGTTTTCTTATACTTTTCTACAACTATTTAATATATGTTTCAGCTAAAAGAATCGCTATAGTATAGTATAGATATATAGAACACATCTATTAATCATACGACAACTATAGTCTATACACTTAGAGAAGTAAATATCTTGAAGAAAAAAGTAATTTGTTCCTTTCACTCACATATATTTCCAAAAAGGAAAAATGAATGATATGAAATTACTAGTTTTTATACAATTTTTTGTCTAGTAATTGAAACAACTATAGTTATGGCGTTTTTAGCGATAATAGCATTAGTTTTTTAGATATAAACCCACTAAATATAGAACTCTACTTCCGCCAGTGGATCAATCCATTAATGTTTCCATTTTTTTCAATGTCACCGAAAGGAACTGTAACTTGTAGGGAGAAAAGAAACAAAATATAAATAAACCTCTCGGTAATGACGTATTTTGGACCTTTTGTTATTTTAGTATCAATAATTAAGTCAAGTAGTGTGTTGAGTGAAGTTGTTTCCATTTTCCATGGTTCGTAAACTAACTATTTTCTTTTATAAGATAAGGTTACCTTTAACAATGTTAAACAATAAGGACAAAACTAACATACCATATTTTTATATCATATATAGTATAATTGACAAAACCTTATCTTATCTTATCAAACAAGAAAATTTGCCAAGAATTGTAATCATCGTGAATCCAAAATCTTCAAAATTTCACGGATAAAACAAACCAAGAAAAGGAAATGTCATTTCGTGTGATTGTGATATTGATCAGTCACTATTCACATATTAAAACCATTTACTTGGTACAAGCACACTATATAGACATGCAGTTTAAATATGGACTAACTCTAGTGACAGTGTCTTATTGATAAACTGATAACTAATAACCGTACCACAACAATAAGGACAATCACATTCGTGTTTCCATACATGTGTTATAGTTATCACTACGACAATATAATACATGCAGCTTTTAGCATTATTGTGATCATCAGCGAAATATTTATGTTTGATAAGATAATAGAAAAAATGTTATATTAATAGTGTTGTGTTCTCAATCATTAATCATTATATATCATCTCATCGTTAAGACAATTATAGTTAATTGCAATAATTTGAAAGAAACCAAAACTACATGCAAAAGAATGATGGTCCACTAGACTTTTAATGTTGACAAAGAGGAGAAAATAAGGACATAAATCCCAAATACATGAGAAGCGTGCAAAGTGTAACACCACTGCACTACAAACTCTCAGCAAACTCCGATTTAACAAATGTCGCGATAGTTTATGATTCTGATGCGCCAATGGTTTCAATAAAGTGAAAATACAATGGTAAAGTCTGGTTTTGTAATTCTGCGTGCACAAATGAAAAACCTCTAATAGTAAAATATCCTAGGACTCATTTAAGTACGAAGAACCCCGTACAGACTAACCGGGTCCCACCATAAATTCCACTTGGCATTCAGAGAGTAGTCAATCTCGTGGGCCTTCACGTGCAAGACTTCCTCACGTGTTTTATTATCTTGTAGCCGATTTTCCCCCCTCACTATGGTCATCGCATCGGACGGCTGAGATAAAACCAACTTTAAGTCCATCACACGAAAGAGATGACGTGGAGAGAAATTGGCGCGAGATTGTAAAGTAGAGAAAAGTCAACAGATCCAACGGCTGATGTGAAACAAAAGTCAGATGAATCAATGAATCTATATATATAGCAAGAAATGAAGATTCGTTGATGGCATTTATCACTCTCGGAAGATCGAAGAGAAGAGAACAGTCTCGCGATGAAATCTCTTTTGATGAGAACCGGTTCGATGCCGGTTCAAAACCGGTTTATTCCGTCGCGGAAGGTGACGACGACAATCTCCAGGCACAACTCCGTCGAATCATTACCCAGCTACGGCAGCGAGGGATTCGCCGCCGGGGGGAAGATCTCGATCGATGTCAAGTCTACGGCGATGATGCGGAGGGTGTTATCGGAGAGTGATGTGATTAGATCTGAGAGAAGGTCTAAGAGTGTTGGATCCAAGCCTTCGCCGGCGAAAATTCCGGAGGAAGACGAGGAAATTAGGTTCGCCGATGGTTGGGGATCGTTGATCTGGGAGGAGAGTGGGCTTCCTATGGAGGAGCAAGGAATCTCCGGCGGTGGTGGTGGATCTGGTTACAGCGGCGGTAAAGGAAAGGGAAACGGAAGCAGAGGAGGCGGTTACAACGATAAGAGCAAGATCGGTGATTATTATCGAGAGATGTTGAAATCTAACCCCAATAATTCGCTTCTTCTGATGAACTACGGCAAGTTTTTGTACGAGGTACATGTCGATCATGAATCTGAGGTTTCGGATTTTCTGAATTTTGGAGAGATTATTTGATTCAAAAATTTGAAATTGGTTTTGGATAAATCAGGTGGAGAAAGATTCAGAGAGAGCAGAAGAATACTACGGGAGAGCAATACTTGAGAATCCAGGTGATGGTGAGGCATTGTCAATGTATGGAAAGATGATATGGGAAACGAAGAGAGATGAGAAGAGAGCTCAAGGTTACTTTGATCAAGCTGTTAATGCTTCTCCTGATGATTGGTACTTAAGAATTTGGATTCTTGAATTGAAATTTAGTATTCCCCCAATTTAAGTTTTCAAAATGTGAAAAAGGTTGTGTTTTTTGTAACTTTGCAGTATGGTTTTGGGATCATACGCACATTTCATGTGGGAAGCAGAGGATGAGGAAGAAGAAGAAGAACTGATGGTTTCTGCTGTTTAGAAACTCCAAAGAGTGATGGAGTCTGTGACAATGTATTATCAAACCTTTAGCGTATGTTACTTTATTTTCCTAACTCTTTTGTTTTACTTGCGATGTAATAGTAACCTGAAGAGCAATAAACATGTGTAACTCAACGAATGTAAAAATCTTAATAGAGAATAAAAAGGGCTTCTGTATAGCTTTTGTAACAAAGATTAGATCTTTGGATATTTAGAAATTAAGAAAATTAGTCACTTTGAAACTAAAGTGGATCATTCGTTGATTATATGAGAAGAAAAAAGAGAAGTCTTTATGATCATCACAATCAAAAGAAACTAAGAAACAAACTAAAAAAGAAGAATTGAAACCCTACTTAACATCTCTCTCTCTCTATTTATCTAAAACCAAAGCTAAATTAAAGAGAAGTAGGAAGAAGAAGAAGAACAAGACGAGAGAGTAAGAAAGCTCAATCTACTTATGGATAATTCTGACGGAAGAGATGTGTAAAAAGAAACAGAGAAGTAAACACGGTGAGCTCGACGACCCACGAACCATCTGATTATTGAGGATTGTGACCAGGCCAAAGATGATGGTACATCTGCATAGGCATTTGGTGAAGCTGTTGTGGTGTAGAGTTTCCAAATAGTCCGTGACTGTTGTGATTGTTGTTGTTGTTGTTGCTTCCACGGTGCAACGGAGAGTTACTTTCGTTTTCCTCTGATGACTCGCTCGAATGTTGCTGTCCCTGAGACCGAGGGCTTCCTGGTCCTTGACCACCACCACCACCACCAAAGCTCAACATATTGGCTGGTGCTGAAGCTGGCTCGGGAGTACTCTGAACACGCCCCACGCTTTGTTTCTGTTTCTTCCCATCTGGTACAAAGCTACCAACAACGACCTACATATAATAAAAACCCGAATCAAAGTGAGTGTCTTTGAAGTTTTTTGTGACTTAACTCGAGTATAAAGGTTGAGAATTTGAATAACCTGGACTTGTGATCCAGCTACTAGCATTCCAGCAACACAACCACCTACGATCTGGCCATCGGGTCTAGCCAGAGACACGCTCAAGGTACCACTTTTGGTCACAGTACCATTACTCTCAGAATTCAAGAAAGAACCTGACATAGAAATGATTTCATATGGGCCCTGAAAACCCAACACACAACATAAAACAGCTCAATGCAAGATCACACAGACAAATCACAAGACCCCTAATCAGATCAAAATTCCAGCTCCATTGATACATACAACCTAGCTCAAATCAGATCAAGAACTAAGTACTGCACAAGCACATGACAATGTTATACCTCACACTTAACCATTCCATTAGGATTATTAGCTTGACGAAGCACCACACTAGATACAGCTCCTGTAGCTGATAGAATACAGATCGCGCGTGGTCCTTGATTCGTAAACGCCATTACCTTCATAGCAATGTCCTGAATAGAATGAAACATCACAAGCTTAACCAAAAGAAACACATCAAAGAAAACAAAAACAAGCGAAACTACTCAAATCTTGGCAACTTCAAGTGTAAAGATTCAAGATTTGCAACAACACATTACCTCTCCAGTCTTGACCTCAATGACATGAGGTGTAAACCCTACTCCTCCTGTTCCTCCTGCTCACACACACACACACACACACACACAAAACCCAGAAACCTTCTAAGTAATCGAGAATTGTAAACAGTGGTTTTTGATCTGATCAAAGCGGAGAAAGATTAGATCGAGTTTTCACAGTACCTAAAGCGTCGAGCTGCTTCTTGCCGGAGCCAGGAGGACGACCTCTGTTCCGTTTAGCAGGTGGATCGGAAGAGTTCGCATTAGCTCCTCCACCGCCGCTATCTCCACCTCCTCCTCCACCGCCGTCTGTTCCGCCGCCGTACGAATTAGAAGCTGAAGGAAGAGGCGATGTCGGAGCCAAAGCAAGACCAATGTTGCCATCAGGAGCATACTTCCTAGGCCTTCCTCGTTTCTTCTTCGCCTGTTGTTGCTGCTGTTGCTCGATCCCGAATCGCATCGACTGTTGCTGGGCCGCGACGGAGGAAGGCGATCCTTCGAATCCGAGAGATTCGAGAGTTTTCTGGTCCATTTGTTGCTGCGGCTGAGGATGATGATGATGGTGATGAGGATGTTGTTGTTGCTGCTGATGGTGTTGAGGCTGATGCGGCGAGAGAGAGCCGAACGGTAATCGGTGGTGCATCGCCTGAGATGTGGAGGTGGGACCCATTAACGCGGCGGCGTTAGGGTTTCGATTGTAGGCACTCATTAGTATCCCAGGCGGTGGTTGTAGCTGCTGCTGCTGTTGTTGTTGTTGATGTTGCTGTTGCTGTTGGTGGATTTCTCTAGAATCCATCGAAGATTAGAGAAAGAAAAGGAAGAAAATTTTCAAGATTTTTTTTGGGTTAAATTTAGGGTAATTTTCTCGGAGAGAAACCCACTTTTCTGTTTTGCGAATGCCGAGAAAATAGACGAGAAAGTGCAGGTTTTTGAGTTTTAAGCGAAAGCGTGTGAGCTAGCTAACAACTCTTTCTCTCTCTATTGTTGAGTTCTTCAGAGATTATAGAGAGAGACGATCTGTGTATTATTTTCTTGATTTGATTAGAAATAAATAAAACAAATTCGAGAAACAAATCTTTGGTTTAGGGTTTTCACATTTCAGGGGATTTGGTTTCGTTTTTGTTGTGGTATTTTTTATTATTTAATTTTCATGAAATAAAACTAAACATATAATTTAAGTTAGGATTTAGTTCAAGAGAATTTTAAGGAGGAAAAATAAAAAGAGTTTGTCTTAAATGATGATGATCAGTCTATTTACACTTTGTAGTTGTAATGTACTCTTTGGATTTGGTGTCCTCCTTTAACTCTGCTCCTTTTTTTGTTTAATTAATGTATTTCAATTTTTTTTGGTTTTTTCACATAATTTGCAATGTTGCATTGAATGAACAGAACAGAGTTTGGTATTGGAAGAGAAACTAAATCGGAAATGAGATGAAGAGACATTGAAGTTGAATGTTAGGAGGGATATTATTAGTTTGGTGACCTTTTATCATTTGAGTAGAGAGTTTAAAGTCTTGACTCAAACTCTACCGAAGTGAGTACTAGACAAATAACAAAAAAAGCTTTACTAGCAAAATTTAAAAAAGAAACAAATGCACAATAATTAATAAGAGAGAATTTAATAAATTATGTGAAACTATAGATTTTGGTTTGACTGTGGGAAATCGGAAAATCCAAATAAACATGGGTTTTGTACTTTGATGTGTCAGATTTTCTTAAGTATAAGTATATCCTCATCAGATCTTAAAAACAATCACTACTTTGAAAATGACAGCAGCTTATTTTGACCATTTTGTCCTTCTCTTGCCTCATCATTTTAAGGAAAAACTCATTTTCAGAAAAAAAATGTGTATATATTATTAGTACTTATATAGATTCCAAATTAATTGACGACAAAAAAAAAATTCCAAATTAATTGACAAATTTTTATTGCTATGCTACATATAAAAAATAGACCCACTGGAATGTAAAACTAATAATATTAAAACCCACTATAGATGTCGTAGATGCTTTTCGATTCTTCATGCAGAGATGGACTGTCTCTTTTGGGCTATGTCGTACTTGAGAGATAGACAGATTATATCGGCGCATTTTCAGACTGATTGTTCGGATTTGCTGAAAATGACTGAATTTCCAGCAGATTGACCATCTTTTATGACAGAGTTGGACGCCTTCCGGATCCTTCGAGAGAGCTTTGCCGAGTGGATTTTATCATATATCCCGAAAACTTTAAATGTCCGGGCGGATAATCTTGCAAAAGGAGCTCGAGCTAAAGAAATATTTTCTCTCAAATCAATCATAACGTGCTGGTTGAGGATGGCCTGCGGATCACTCTTCTGATTAGCCAAATGTGATGTATTAATTGAGTAGGAAAAAAAAAAAACCACTATAGATTTTCTGCTGACAAACACAAAGATCCAACTTTAATTGGTTTCTGTAAATGAACAAATGTCTAACTTTCAACATGTTATTTTATTTCATATGAATATGCTTTGCTTGTGTAACGAACCCACTCGACCGTGTTATATCCACTCTTCTCCCATACCTGTCACGAGAAATTCAATCAGATTCACTGTTTGGGTTTTTTGTATTGATTCCACAAAAAACCGGTTCATTTCAAAGGACGAAAAGAGTAAGTGATCTGTATTTGGTTTTGAGATAATCATGAGAAAGCACAAAACTTTCTTCTATCTAGCACTCTAGCTAGCGGCTAAAGTGATCGACTTTATTAGACAGACAAGCAACAAAAGCAGTTGTTAAGCCATGCGCGTACCATAAGAAACCGGACACGGAAACCAGATGCTGTGAACATTGGTATCTGAAAATAGAAAAGATGTAGAGACATTTAACGAATGTTTTGAAAGTAATTTACGTGTTTATTAGATGATTCAAGTGACCCGAGATTCCTTTTGGATGTGGTCTTGTCCAAGATTTCTTTTCTATCATTGTTGAGATCAATTCGAGTTATGCACTTAGAGTGGATTCTGTTTGTCCTAGAAACTTTCTTAACCTAACAGAAACAAAAACAAAGAACAATGTATGTAACATAGAAATTGCATCCTTCATTCTTTATGAAAATCTAAAAATCATTTTTGTTTTTGGTGACAACCTAAAGCTTTTACATGTTCACTACTTTCCTTTCTTAGTTGATTCTTTTATCTTCACCTTAAAAAGGAGGAAAATGGTGGAAGACGAAATGACTCCTTATTCCTTAAGTATCGAAAATGGTGAAGATGAAGCGACTAATTTGTTTTTACGAATAGTGCCACCAAAGTTGTGAGTTGAACAAAGCAACAGCCTCGATGCAATTCAAAAGCAGAAAGTATAATCTCACTCCAAGCTCAAGCTCTAAATTTAACATCTAGATCAAGTTTTGAGAAACACTTCCCAAGAGCTAATACTAATGAAAATTCCTGTTAATAACTTCCTTAAGGTAATAATCATACCTGAGTCCAATCAAATCACAGCAGAAGAACACTAATTGGAACTCACAAGTGAATCAAAATAAGCACCTCAACAACGAAATGTGAACGCACAAGCTACATTGGAGGCGGGTGGACTTTTCTTAATGGGCCGAACTCTCACTAGTGTGGCCCGTTAAGTAAATTAGAAAATTTACCGCGCCGTAAAATTGAAGATGGATTAGATTTAGAAAAATAGAAAAAGGCGCAAAAGCAAAGAGCCAAAGAAGAAGAAGAAGATCCTTCTGGATCCAATTTCCTCCATTTTCGTCGCAGAGATTGTGTGTGGAGAGAGATTTGCGTGTTTAGAGACTGGTCTGAAGATTGACGGATTCGCGCCTAATTGGGAAAGTGTGAAGAAGTAGAAATTAGGTTTAACGAAGCAGTTTTCAAAACCCTAAGTATATGTCTTCCGATATCAATCTCAACCTCTGGGAGAGACATTTGTGTATCTGATCTAGTGAAGGATTGGTTTTGGTGTTCGGATTTGATTTGGGTGAGTTTGATTTCTTCTGGGTTAAAATGGGGTTTCTTAAGAAGTTGGCTGGTGTGTTTGGATTTGGGCAGGAAGTTGTGAGAAATGAGGAGGATGAGAGTACCGGAATCGATTCCGGTGACGGAGATAAACGACGGGAAGATAACCAGCCGAAATTTCGTGAAACCGGGTTACCAAGGAAAGGATTCGGAGTTCCGGTTCAAGTCGCCGTCGAAAGGTCTCAACTTGGTCCTGTTCTTCAGCCTTGCTTCGCCGGAGACGGTGGTATTCAGGTTCGGGAATTTTCAGATTCTGGAGCTCTTGTTATAGTTTGATTGATGGATGATTGCTCTATGCAAGTCTGGAAATTGGCTTAGTACAAAAGTTCTAACATTTAGTTAGTTCTCTGATTGATTAGGTTTGATAACTCTAAAATGTGAGAATTGCTAGAAAAGATCCCTCCTTTACTTCTACTTTAACCTTTGATGATCATAGATCATGTTCTACATAGTCCTTAGCTTGATTTTCTTAGTATGATTTACAAAATTGTTATCAATATTTCTGTTCTTTGGCTGACGCTTTACCGATCAGTTGCTTTAGTTTGATTGCTCAGAAACCAATTCTCCGATTGAACTGTTGAACTAGATTTCCTTATGTGTAGATAGTTCACTGTCTCGTTCATTTTCTTCATAGACACTTGTAAGTGAAACCCATTGATAATCCTAACAGTTCACTGCAGACGTAAAGACAATCTGTACAAAGCAAGTTCTCTTATATCACTTTCTATGTAGTGAAAGTGAAAGTGAAACTGTAACCTTTTCTATAGTTTTCTACAACTTTATTGGCTCACATTGTCTCTTTTCTATGACTTTATTGGTTTACTTTTTAGTTCCTCTCAGAATGCGATAAACATTTTCAACCGAATCCCGGTCTTGATTCCCAACGTTAAATTTCTAAGCCATTAGGTCACTTGATCACTGTGTACTTAGTTAAGAGATTGCCTTATCTTCTGGTACTGTGTTATAGTTCTCTCTTGTACTGAATCAGGGACTAAGGTGGTACACCAAACGGCTAAGGATTGATGAAGATGGAGATGTTGCGGATGAGTTTTTGGAAGAGGGAGAGAAACAGACAAACGCTGAAGATAATAACTTAAAGACTATGCCAAGACTCGAAGCCAAGCGCAAAACAAAACCTGCAAAAGTAAGAAGACTAGTTGTGTCTTCCGATGGGAAACTCCAGCAATGCATTGAACATCAAGGAAGATTACTTATAGTATGAATGATTTGAAGAACATAGAGAGGTTTAGGACAGGTTTTGTTTCATCAGCATTTCAAATCTTGGTATCAAAGAATAGAAGAAAACCTCTTGTGATGATTATTGATTTGATTCTACAATGAGATTAATTTTATAACTAGACAGTCGATTGGTTTTGGGAATTGTTTTACACTTAGACTTTGTATTATTACTACGGGTTCTTCTTTGTGTTTATACATATATGATCAGTCTATTTTGGCTTAAACATGAACACAAGTTTCTTTTTTTGACCTTTGTATTTGTAATTTCATTTTTCGAGAACTATCTTTTCTTCTGCCACGAGGAGATGAGAGAACCCACATGAGCGACGTGGACAACACACGAGAAATCTGGAAATCTCAAAGATTCAATTCAACCAACACAACACCCTTAAAAGTAAAGGAACAGCTGTTCTGTTTTATACAAAGATCTCTCCTTGACACAACACTACAAAGAGAATCGTATGTGATTTTAAACTTTACTGCACTTTTCTATAAATTAAATCACTAATGTGACCACAAAACTCGTTGTAGAATTAAAATTATTTACAGTGAAAAAATCTAGTTGAGCTAGAAAATAAAAGGTTCGCAACTGTAAATCAATTTTTTTTGTAAACATCGATCACCCATTATAGTTTTTTTTTGGTGCATTTAGTAACAATGAATATAAATTCATTTTTATGATAGATTACGGCGCCAAAAAGATAGTGATTCACAATGTAGATTTAGAATAAAATTTCACTACAAAATTTCAAAAATTCTTTGGTCAATTAACCAACCAGCCACAACTAATTTCCTTTGGAGGGTAAATTCATAAATTTAGTAGCTCCAAAAGACTCCCAACAGATTTTATTTTAATGAGCTGTATATCAAATCAAACTCACAAGTCGCACCCGTGTCATCCATTAATATTGTTCACGTTTCTTTTTCCCTTTTGGTAGAAGAATACGGTAAGAGATTAAAGAGTTTTATATTTCGTGAAAATACGATATTTTTAACAATGCTAATTATTTTATAACATAATGTGATTTAAAACCCAAATTATAAAAGAATTAGTTGTCCCCGTGCAATAAAAAGAAGGTATACATGTGTTATGTGTGACAGTGTCACCGTTGGTACGGCTTTATAAGATACAAAAGGTCAACTTTAGTTGAGAGTTGAGACGGTGATAACTTGTTCAAGACTTTCGTAGATGTATTATGATTTATCCCACAACTATACGTTATATCTAGAAATCAATTATGCATGCAAGAAAATTATATATAAGCTTTAAATTGTATTTTTCTTTGTCACCACTAAATTATTTTTTACTAATGAAACCATTGATCGTTTATATATTCATCATAGGGGCAATAAATTTTGAATTTGTATAATTGTATTTGTATTTGGGTAGATTGTTTGCATTATTTATTCGTCTATTAATATGTGATTTTCATTGTCGTGTTTTAAATAAAATTCGTGTAAGGACTTTGCATATTCAATCTCTTTTTTTACCTAACACAACAACTTATTATCGGTCCGTTCATAACTAATTCGCATCCTCGCCTTAGTCGCCTACACGGCTACATAATCAAAATGATAAAAACAGTTAGTAGTATTTGATTATGTTAGACTGCTGACAAAATAAAAAGATTATGTTAGACTAATGTAACTAAAAGTGCATGTACTCTTGTGTTCTTAATTTAAGAGGACAACATAGATAACCAAGATCTAGCTAGTTTTTCGAACTACCTAGTTTTAACAATATTAGTCTTAATGGGGTTACACACGCATGCAAATAATCATACAAATGGACAAATGGTAGTGTATAGAATAATAATGTAATTGGATCTCTAATTCTATAATTAATACTATAATTATGGAACGTATGTGAGTTTAATATCTTTTTCAATAACTTTTGACTTAGTTTTTTCATCAATCTTGTGAATAACAGAGAAAAAGATAGTCTTTAATTTAATATTAACACCAATAATTGCAAGTCATGTGAAACCTATCAATCTAATCTTTCCTCACTTGCCAAAAGATAATCTTATTTTTGTATCTTTTAAAAGTAATTATGTAAAAAGCATATACATATATAGAGGTAAAAAGTAACATCACGAGATTTTTGTATTTCCTAAGAATGTTGAATAAAACACAAATTATGTTGGCAGTAATAAATGCTAGATATAGTAAAATTATAAAACAATTGAAAAAAACGTTACGTGAAATATAATAAAATGATCATTAAGCGAAACTGCATATATAAAATCATGTATTATACCATAAAATGATTAATAAATTTAGATAAATATAATCGTTATTTCTAAAAGTCATAAGACACGTTAAAAAACTATTACCAATCGAAACCTCAATGAATGAGATTCTTGTAGTTCAACCAACACAATCACACGTATTAACTTATTTCTTCTGGCCAGCTCTATGATATATGCATTGCACGCAAACTAATCCATCACTTTCTCTATATATACACATATTACATATACACACACAGAGAGCTATATATATAGAGAGTAACGCAATAACATAACAACACTTTCTATTCTTGTATATAAATTCTTATTAGAAAATAAAGAGAGAGAACCATTTTTTCTCTCCCTCAAAATGTCCAACAAGGTTCACGTAGGGAGCATTGAGATGGAGGAAGGTTTGAGAAAGACGAAGTGGAAATTTTCAGAACCTTCCGAGCAAATCAAGAAAATTCCGAAGAGGCTTTGGAATGTTGGGAAAGAAGATCCAAGGAGGGTTATACATGCACTTAAAGTAGGTCTTTCCTTAACGCTTGTCTCTTTGCTATATCTCATGGAGCCTCTCTTCAAAGGAATTGGAAGCAATGCCATTTGGGCCGTCATGACCGTCGTTGTTGTCCTCGAGTTCTCTGCCGGTAACAATCCGGGCATAAATATATACAATACAATTAGTGATGTAATTAAGTGTAATCAACGTTTGTTTGACATTCTTGATTCTTTAGGTGCAACGTTGTGCAAAGGGCTCAATAGAGGATTAGGGACACTAATTGCGGGATCTTTGGCATTTTTTATTGAGTTTGTAGCTAATGATTCCGGAAAAGTTCTTCGAGCTATATTCATTGGCACTGCTGTTTTTATCATAGGTAAGCATTTTCTTTTCACAATTTTTCTCATAAACATTTAATTACCCGGTAAGTTTGATGCATTTTTAGTTATACAATTTTAAGTCTCTAACCATAAACTAATCTCAATAGTCCAACAATAAATCTACTAATTTATGTTGTCTTTCTAATCATTTACAGGAGCGGCCGCAACTTATATAAGATTTATACCATATATAAAGAAGAACTACGATTATGGCGTTGTGATATTTCTCTTGACATTCAATCTTATAACGGTTTCGAGCTATCGAGTAGACAGTGTGATAAACATAGCACACGATAGATTCTACACTATAGCCATCGGTTGTGGAATTTGTCTTTTCATGAGCCTTATGGTTTTTCCTATTTGGTCCGGTGAAGATCTCCACAAAACCACTATCGGCAAACTCCAGGGTCTCTCTCGCTCCATAGAAGGTATGTAACATATGTATGTTAAATATTCAAAGATTAATAAATACATAAATTATGTCCGCTTTTAATTTTTGTGTTTGTTCGTATAGCATGTGTGAGTGAGTACTTTGAGGAGAAAGAGATGTTAGAAACATCCGATTCAAAAGACAGAATTTATGAAGGTTATCAAGCTGTTTTGGATTCTAAATCCATCGATGAAACACTTGTAAGTCTTTTTTATACATAGTTCTTTGTTTTTAAATAAATAAATTAAAAACACGAAATATAATTAGTTTTTATGAAATGAAAAATGGAACAGGCATCATATGCAAATTGGGAGCCAAGACACACGAGACGATGTCATAGGTTTCCATGTCAACAATATGTTAAAGTTGGAGCTGTTCTTCGTCAATTTGGTTACACTGTTGTTGCTCTTCACGGTTGCTTACAAACTGAGATTCAAGTAAGCATAACTATATATATTTAGTAATGTGTATTTGTAATTAGATTAAATTAATTTTTATTTGTTTTCAAGACTCCTAGATCAGTTCGTGCGCTTTTCAAAGATCCTTGTGTAAGATTAGCCGGAGAAGTGTGCAAAGCTTTGTCGGAACTGGCAGATAGCATCTCCAACCACCGTCACTGTTCACCGGAGATTCTCTCCGATCATCTCCACGTGGCACTCCAAGACCTTAATTCCGCTATCAAGTCTCAGCCTAAACTCTTCCTCGGCTCCAATCTCCATCGCAACAACAATAAACACCAAAACGGTACCGTATCACAACGCAACAACCATAACCATGAGAAAGACATAAACGGCAACGTTTTTACAGAAACCGGTTCACGTCACCATAAAACTACGGAAACCGGTTTACGCCAAGGCCAAAACGGCGCCGTTTCGTTATCGAGCTTCAGGACGGACACGTCAGCTTTGATGGAGTATCGGAGATCGTTCAAGAACAACAATAGCTCTGAGATGTCGTCGTCGGCGGGAGAGAGGAGGATGTTACGGCCGCAGCTGAGCAAAATCGCGGTGATGACGAGCCTCGAATTCTCGGAGGCTTTGCCGTTCGCGGCGTTTGCGTCGTTGCTGGTGGAGATGGTGGCGAGGCTTGATAATGTAATCGAGGAAGTGGAGGAATTGGGAAGGATCGCCTGTTTTAAGGAGTACGATAACACAAGAGATCCGACGGCTGACGATGTTCGATGCGAGAAACCGGCGAATGTTGTGATCAGTGTCGGCGCCGCGGAATGAAGCAACGACCGGCGAGAAGTAAATTGTAGATTTTTGTTTTTCTTTGGATCTACATATTTAGGTGTTATATTAGAGAAGACGTAGATGAATTAAACCGATCGGTATAATGGATCGATGATGCGATTTGATTTGGTTTGGTATGATTCGGTTTCCTCCATTATACTATGATGGAATCGTTGCGTTTTCATAATTTTACTAATAAGAGATATTTGCAAGTGAAAATTCTTTACACTAGCGTTTAAGGGTGATGAAATGACAAACCTAACCTAACATACATATGGATCAGCTTACTAGACTAACCTTATAAAGTTGCTTTAATTCCTTTTTATCCAACTATTCAAAATTATTACGAAAATGTTATTCTGGTTAATAAAAATAAAAAAAAAAATTTTTTAACCAACTGTTCAAAATTATTACGAAAATACCATTTTCGTTAATAAAAATTTTAAAAAATTGATATTTTTTATCCACCTGTTCAACTTATTACGAAAATACCATTATGATTAGTAAAAATTTTAAAAAATTGATTTTTTTATCCAGCTGTTCAAAATTATTACAAAAATGCCATTCTGATTAATAAAAATTAAAAAATTGATTTTCTTTTATTATTTCTACAAAAAAACGAGTACAAGTATATTTCTACAAGAAAAGAAAATAAAAATCTGATTATTAAAAAAAAACCCTAATTTGGTTCTTGTCGCCGTTGTAGAAGAAGAAGAAGAAGACTGCGCCGAAGATTGGTTCTTGTCACCGGCGTCTCTGCGGCACGAAGATACGGTCCCATCAGCTTTGAATCTTCCACCGTCGCAGCTTCCTCGCTTTCCATGTAGAGCTTCTTGATAGGCAAACATAGTGATTTCTCCTCTGGCTCGAAAGATTCCGGTTAGCAGCTTCTCTCTTTTCGCAGCTTTCCTTTTTTTGGAGCTTTCTCCTTCCTTCTCCTTTTTTATCTCTTCACAGCTTCCCTCTTTTTCGCAGATCCACACAGATCTTGGTGTTGGAGATCTCATAAATATTTGGCATGACTCTTTAGCAGCATTCTCGCCGCGTCGCGCACAACCGCAGTGGACAGACGTTGTTTCGATGGAATGGTGGTGTTGTGGAGGTTGTCGGCGGCGTAAATTTTCTGTAAAAACCGTATCCCTAATTTTTTTTTCAGGTACGTTTGGTAGATATATTTGGAAATCGATATTGTAAAGTTCATAATATGTGATGGTAGATTTATTTGAAAAACGATATGTAGTTTGGTAGATTATTAGTTATTTGATGATAGATATATTTAGAAAACGAAATATGGTTTGGTAGATTTATTAGTTATTTGATGGTAAAATTATTTTAAAAAATGATGTCGTTTAGTAGATTTATTAGTCATCTAATGATAGACTTATTTGTAAAACGATGTGGTTTGGTAGATTTATTAGTCATTTAATGGTAACTTATTTGAAAAATGATTTGTGTTTGGTAGATTTATTAGTTATTTATGGTAGATTTATCAGTCGTATATATTTGAATTTTATATACGAATGACAGTATTTGTTTATTTTTTTCTGACAGATTATGGGCTTTGCCATGGTGAATAAATATTTGATGGGATATCCAGCATCGATCCGACATGTTTTACTATGAATTGTAGATTTGCATTTGGTAGATTTGTTTTGAAATAATGGTAGATTTATTATTAAATTGATGGTATATCTATATTTTGAAATTTGTAAAAATGATAATTAGATTTTAAATGATAATATTGTTGTTTTCAAATTATATTTGTCGTAAAACATTGACCCAGACATTTTTACATTTTTACCACATTTGCTAGTAATGTTATTATTCAATTTAATTTATTTCTTTACTTTCACTATGATGTATATCATAACTGAATAAAATTTTAATCAAAACACATGACTAAAATCATTTGACATTGTGATGTTGTAAGAGTTTATGTAAATAGAGTTAAATGTAACAAATATTCAAAAATAAAAATAAAAAAATCATAAGTTAAGAGATAGTTATTACAGATATGACATATATGTTCAAAGTTAATATGAAAAACAAAGTTATCTTAGAGAAAAGATATATCATAGAAAAAATATTCATGTTAGAAATTTTTGACCATTGATTATGGCATCTATATCGTAAAGACCAATAATCATTTGTGATCGAATCACAGTTAACCGACATAATCTTAGCAAACTCATGCAAAAAAACGTCAATGGTAACAAAACCAACTCAAATATAACCATAGAACAAGTCTACCATATGTACGAAACCTGTTTAACATACGACACTTCAAAACAAGTCTACCACACCTCTGGTTTTTTCGTAGATAGGACAATACTTTTAGGACAAAAAAAAGTAATTTTAATCTATAAAGTCAAATGTCTGCCAAACATTAACAACTAAGTCTACCTCAAGCATGAAAAATAACTCTACCATATAAACAAGTCTACCATAAGCACCTCATATGTCTACCAGATCGAGGTTATCTTTGTAAATACCAAACTTAATTAATCTACCACATGATTGCTATAAGAAGTCTACCATACGTACGATAACTCTACCAGATTACATAAACTCTACCAAACAAACAAATATATCTACCAATATTCTGTAAGTCTACCTCATGTAACAAATAATCTACCACTCAACGGAATGAATTTTATTTGAATTTAAATCTACCACAAAACAAACATATCTACCACAAAACAAATTAATCTACCAACATTCTGTAAGTCTACCTCATGTAACAAATAATCTACCACTCACCGGAATGAATTTTACTTGAATTTAAATCTACCACAAAACAAACATATCTACCACAAAAGCGAAAAATCTACCAACAAGATATAACTCTACCATAAAACAGATATATCTACCATCACGTATTGACACCTTTTTTTCACATAAATCTACTGCCAAAGGACATAAGTCTACCAACTCAGAAAATAAATCTACCTCATTGTCAATAAATCTACCGAGAAAGTCAACTATGCGAGAAAGTCAACGCTTTCTTTAACAAGTCTACCAACACGTTTGACAAGTCTGCCATTCATAACAACAAATCTACCGAAACATAATAAATCTACATCTCATCGTCAAAAATCTACCAAGATAAGTCTACCAACATTTGTAAACTCTATCAACTCTCGAATAAATCTACCATCGACCTAATAATTCTACCGACAAAATTTTTGCGTTGACCAAAATTTGATAAGTCTACCGTCAAAGCCTGGAGACTTATCAAATTTTCAGCGCTATAATCTGCCTACGTGGCATTAAAAAGTAATGACATTTTCGTAATTAGGTTTTTTTCAACAAAGGCGAAAAAGGTGTTTTGGGTATGCTAAGTTAGTTTTGTAAAAAAAATAAAAGTGCGCTAAACAAGTAATATAGATACTTTCTAAGGTTAGTGTAGTAATCCTCCCTATTTGTAATTACTGTTCATGCCTAATTGCTTTTTTTTTTAAGCTATCAGTTTTTTGAATAAAAAAAATGCATACGTGATGTGTTTCGGTGTGAATTAGAGATATGTTAGGTCAATGTGAAATACAAAAATAAAAATGTTATGCCTTGAGACCAATTATTTATTTAAAATAAAATATTATCAATCTTATATTTTTAACTACTACGTTTTTAAGGATTCCAAAAATATATTGCTCTACCGTATATTCAAGATTTGAACATTTTACGTTTGTAAATCAACAATCAGATCAAAAATTATTTATTTTTTTATCAGTCAAATCAATTTCAATAAAAAAAAATCTGACTGTCGAATCTCAGTTGTTTCCTGAAACAATCTGAAACTTGCTTATAGTTCCACCGGCAACCGCCATAATTAAAATATCGCTCCCAGTCATGCTCAAACTCCAGTGAAACTCCTTTATCTTTATTCCAATTGTGGTTGGGAACCAATTTAGGATATCACAGTTTTCCAAATCCACAATCACAAATAATACACTTTAACTCTCCTATTATAATCATAAAAAACTTGGACTTCGTTTAATAAGAATCATAATTCAAATCCAAAAAAGCATAATACTGATAAGAGGAAGTGATGAGTTCCTTGGTCATTATACCTTAACTGTTTTGGGACCAGATTAAACCCTAATTTGATGAAAAAATAATCAGTACAATTTCCAAATTCTTCTGTATAGAGTCTATAGATCAGAAAATTAGTTATTTAAGAATACCCACTTGTAGTCCTAGAGAAAATAAAACAATGTATGTGATTTTGACACTTTTTTATGTTTTTGTTATTCAATTTCATTCTCAATTTTATATATATTTTTTTCTCTTATATTTGTGTTTAAGATGAGAAGTTTCTCTGATCTTTGATAGTCGTCATAACTGCGTATGCTATTTGATCATTTCATTTTGTTGACTTTCCATTGATACCATTTAGCTATGGACACAATTTACTACTTAATTCACACCATAACGTATTTAAATCATGTTTCTCAAGTCATTTTTAAAAGTAATATATTTTTATTTTATTTTATATAAAGTGCAAAAGATAGTAGAAAAGGAAAAATATCATCAAAACGCTCTAAAAATTGAAGAAATGCAAAGTTTAAATATTGATTCATCTTTATACGAAAGACAATTATTGTGCACTAACAAAACCCAAAAATCATAAACAAAACTAGTTACAAACCTTCTGGTTAATCTGGAAATGAAGAGCTCCATGGGTCCATGTTCCATGGCTCTTATACCATGAAGGTGGAAGCACAAAACTTAAACTTAAGGGAAACACTATTACAAATTGCTTTGATTTCTTTTTGGTTCAACCTTACAAAAGTGTTTTCATGGGTATTTATACAATAAAACATCAAAACGCAAAACTCTATATGAATATGAACATATGGCATGATCAAGTTTCATCTAGAGGATTAAGAGTTGTAAATTGATTATGCAGTGTGATCTTCCTTGAGTTGATTTTGCTCTGATTCGATGTACAGTAGAACCTCTATAAATTAATACTCGATAAATTAATAATCACTATAAATTAATAAATTTTGCTGGTCCCAAGTCGGGCCAATGTAAAAATCCATCAAATTCGATAAGATAATAAGATAATAATTTTTTTTGAAACCCTTATGTAAATATATGGTCCCAACAAAAACATAAATTAATAATGATATAAATTTCTGAAAATATATATAAATTTAATATTCTAAAATATGACTAATGTGTTCATTTTTAGTTAAAGTTAAAATCTCATTGGTTCTCATCTCTCTAATTATTATATCAGTAACTCTTATTGCGGTTTTACTATATATATTCAAAATTTATGATGATTTTTTGATGTGATAATTGATTTTCTTACATATAAATGTTTTTAAATGTATTGTAGTGTTATCTACAATTTTATCATCAATAATACTGATAGTAGCCATAGTTTTTTTTATAAATTTTATACTTATGAACATGTATATTTTTATATGGATAATCCAATATGGTGAAAACTATTTTATTGTGATAGTTATGATTTTTAATCATAATTTATATTATGATATTTGTTAAAATTTTAAAATATAACATTATTCCAAAATAATTTTTAGAAAATTATATGCAAAAAGTAATTTTTCTCTATAAATTAATATCACGATAAATTAATAAAATATCATGGTCCCAACATTATTAATTTAAAGAGGTTTTACTGTATTCTGGTTTTGTCATGTTGTGGAAGAGATGCTCTACTTTTAACTGATTGATAAATATTTACTATGTTTATTAGATTATCCAAATATCAGAAGATTCAGAACAATGGTAAAATGCAATGAATTTTGTCATGCGGGTGCATTTCAAAAATTTAGCATAAAGATAGTTACAGATACACATATTTCACATCAGATTAAGATCAATACGAAAAAAGAAATTAGAGACTTGATAATTCGTTAGTGAATAAGAGTTATCTATGAAAAGTATCGTTACAATCACTTCTTTTGTTATATCATTTTTACTATGTAACACATATATCTAATTATATAATAACTTGTTTTCTTAAAATTCTGTAAGACTTTGTAATTCTAACTTAAAATATAAAAAAAATTTGCCAGTAGAAAAAAAATATATCTTTATTAGTCCAAAACTGATCAACGAGATTGATAAAAATATCTATCTATCACTGATGCAATATACCATATTTGCAACGGAAGATAAGTTTTGGTTGAAAATGGCACTGTCCTAGAAGAATTCTGTCCTCTTACCTATGCGTTTAATCACCAACACTTTCATGGCTCAAATATTTCTAATAGGGCCTCTGATCAATTCATTTGGTGCCACCACATCAATATCCCAAAGCATGAATCTATCCTTCTGAGTCATACAATTTCTCTGAATCTCAACTCATGCATCCCACGCTTCTAAGTCGTATAAACTTGTTGTGATGTATAAAAAAAAATTAGCCAATTCCTAAAAGTAATCGAGTCACAAATTAGAATAAGAAAATTTGCTATGAAACAAAAAAAAACAATAAATTTTATTGTGAAAAATTAATGTGAATAAAAATAAATTTAACTCTCCAAAAATAATAGAGTCATGAATCAAAATAAGAAAAATTATGTAAAATAATTTTTTTCTGAAAGAATGAAATGTAAAAATGCTGGTTATAAGACAAAATATAACTAAAGCTCTCCAACAAGTGTAAAATGCAAACTTTTAGGCTTTACATCTTTAAAACAAATGCTGCGTCACATTTACCTCTTTCTACGTATATAATATATAGTTTCAGATTTTTGTATATGCTTCGTTTTCTTTTTTCCAAATTCCCTTTATGGGTGTTCAAAACCATTCCTTTGGATAACTTTTAAAAATATGAAATGGTCCCAAATCAATTGCTTTTTATTGAAAAAAAAATGTTTCTTTTTATGCAAATGATTGTTATCACTTCAAGAAGTTGGTTTAAAAGTTATAAGTTTGGTCCAATTAAATGATTGGGAGAAATGGAAAGAAGGCATCTCCAAGGCAATCATTCTCCAACTCAACTCTATCTCGAACCATTTACTAATTCCATCTATACTCGCCTATTCTGCGATCGGTATAATTGCTCTGTTTTGGCTTCGATTGCTCTGTTTTGGTTGATAGTTTGTAATCTATATAGCTTTTCTTATTTGCCACTTTGTAAATAAAGAAAATTTCTTTTGTTGATAAATAATATTAAGACTATGATATAATCCTATAAAGTTTTTTTGAAATAAGGAATTTGAAATACTCATTAAGCTTACAATATATTCATTAGTATAAAGTAAATTAAACCAAAACCAAAATAAAATGCAAGAGAATCCAAAGTTATGACAAACCAAGTTGATCATTCTTCCGAAAATCCAACGTTAAAAGGTGTTTTTTTTTGTCCTGAAGAGAGACCAACACATCTTTCCTTTCTAAGCTAGAAAAGGTTTGTGTAATGGAACGAGCTGGTTTGGTCGTATTCATAATTTGTCCAAGAACTTGGTTGTACTGATTGTTCAATCTCCTGACCAACGTTCAAATAAGAAGAACCCGTCGGAAACTCCACGTGGTGATTCGCCGAGGTGACTTGAAAATGATAGTTGGGTAAGTACTCAGAAGCAACCTCATGTATTTGAGGATAATCCTATAAGTAGATACCACAACGCCAAATCAGAACAGTATTGTGTATGCAAAACTGGTTTAGGGTTTAATTTTTTTTTTTTTAGGGTTTAAAATATTATTAGTAGGTTACCTTTGAGGAATCAAGGATGAAATCAGGAGAAATCCAAATGCTAGAAGAGTCGTTTGTAGTTGAAGATTCAGGTTTGAATGATTGAAACTGCGTCGTTTCATCACGACAAGGAGATGTCGCTAGGCTAGAGTAACCCGAACCAGTTGCTTGTTCGTTTTTGTTTTTCAATGCTTTGGCCTTGCGTTCGTTCTTCTTTACTACGCGACATAACGCGAAAGCTTCCTGAAAATTCACACATATAGTTTTAAGGTTTCTTTTCATTAATTCAAGAAATGAATATATTATGGAGTTGGATCAAATTTTAACAAATTATAAGTTTCTTACCTTAAAATTAGATGATTTTTGTGAAAGATCATCATCGCATAGACGATATTCATGCATAAACCAATTAGTTCTATCTCCTAGTGGGGCACGGCCTTCATAGAAAACAAGTGTTTTGCGGTATCCGGTTAAAGCACACGACGATTTACAAGTGATTTTCCGGTCTTTACCGGTTGCTTTCCAATAACCGGCTTTTGTAGCTCTATTGGTTCGAGAACCGTTGGTGTACTTTTTGTCCCTTGGACAGAAAAAGAACCATTCCATATCTCTATTCGGAAGGAAAGATTTATCTAAAAAGACAAAGATAAATTATAAATAATAATAATATCAAAATTTATAGCATTCAAAACATGTTTTCTTAATTGCAATTACCTGGTAACTCCCAAGGCTCGAATTTGTATAAATCGATTTCGGGAATGACTTCGAGCTCGATCTCGAGACCTTCTACTTTTCTACTTAAGTAATAGCCAATGAGCTCTTCATCAGTTGGATGAAATCTAAATCCTGGAGGTAAACATGAACTTCCCATTTGCAGAATTCACACTTGTTGCTTGCGACACAAGAGAGGTGTAGCGATCAAATAATTAGCTAAGTGCCGAAACTAAATCTATTAAATATTTGGAAAATCCAAAAATATAAACGTTTTTCGACAGTTGATTTGTTCTTAAGAAAAGGACGTTGCAGCTCACGTTGATTGCATCCTTTTTGTGACAAGATCATTGTCTAAAAGAATCGTATGATTACAAAATAAACCAACCCTAATTACCCGAAATTCCCTTTTTGTTATTTAACTAGTACAGCAAACAGTATAGACACAAATTTAAGGTAAAAAAAAAATTGAAATAACGAAAAATAGAAGTCGGTTTGAATTTGAAAGAAGAGGTAACCGCTACGACGGGTCAAAGACACTGACCGAAGAAAAAGGGATTATCTATATAAGCAATCAAAAGTGATTAGTGAGTAATTGAATTAAGATAGTGATTAAGAGAAGAGAAGGTTGGTAGAGTATTGAATGGTTGTGGAGCGATTGATATATATAGCACAATGGTTTGAACTTTGAACTTTGAAATAGAAATATAAATTTACTTACTTATTAACCATTTAATATTCAGAAGAAAAATAACGAGTCACCGAAAGCACATAAAGACATTGCTTGTCTTAAGAGTTCCCAAAATTCCAAAAGAAGTTGGACCCACCTGGTCTCAAAGGCTAATAGACTTGTTCACACTTCAACGATAATATGATAACCCATTCCGTATTATATGACCTATCATTAATCACAACTTATCGTTTTAATTTTCAACTATATGATACGTGGTTTCAAAACGATGTTTTTGTATTTATGTCAATCATATATACAGGGAGAGAAGTAACCTTTTTTCTTAATAAGAGAGTTATGAATTTTGCGGTTTTCTTATTATTATTTTTTTTGATATTTAATATGAAAATGGTTATTCTATAAGTATTTTGGTCTGAATCCGATCTAACGGAACTTTTAGTTTTAGCTTTTAGGTCATAAAAATGGGTCCTAATTCTCGGGTTTTTTTTTTCCATTCTATATATCAAAACTTTTCTTGACTATTTAGCAATGTTCGTCCGCGTCAGCATGAGTAAGACAAATTCGCTTTTCAATTTTTTTAATAGGGTATAACCACTTTCAACTTAAAGACATAGAAGGGATAACGAAACTTGATTTGAGGAAATAAAATGTTGATATTGTTTTCTTTTTGCTAGAAGTTTGTTATTGTTTAAGATGTAAAGTTGTAGTTTAAAGTTTAGTTCCCACTTAAAAAAAAAAGAAAAGAAAAAGTTTAGTTCCCATTTGTGTATGACTCGATATATTTGTAATATTCAAGAAAAAGGGACAAAAAAACGAATGACTTCGCAAGATGGAAATGTAAGGTTAGTTCTATAGTACTTCATATCAAAAAAAAAAAAAAGAGGTTAGTTCTATAAACAAAAAGTGCATCTTGTAACTTGTAACGATGCTATAGCTAGAATATTCTCCCGATACTTTAGGAACGGTCACCTTGAACCCCTTATGGTCTTTTAAAGAGAACACTATAGAAAAGAGAAAACGAAAGATTGAAAACCAACAAAAAAGAAAGAGGAAAAAGGCAATAAAAATGAAGAAAAAAAAGATAAAAAAGCATAAATACCTACGTCACATAGTAGGATAAAAGATGTAAGAACATCTCTAATGGTTGACTCTATTTTTGGCTCTAAATATAGAGTTCTCCAAAAATAGAGAAAGAGTTTACTCTAATGATTATCTCTATATCTGATTCTAAAAATAAATATTTTATTTTATTTTTTAGTATTAATTGCTGATAAGATCTTTTACTTTTGAAAATTTATAAATGTTCTTTCTATTTTATTTTGAGTTAAAATAATTTTAAAATTTTAAAATTTTAAAATATATATTGTTATTAAAATTTAAGTTAAAATAATTTTATAATAAGTTATTAGTAGTATAAATTGAATTTAGTGTAATGTTGTTACTTATATTATTGTTTATACATAAAATGAAAAGATATTAAAACTAGAGGATTGTTTTGTAAATTAAAAAGTTCTGCTCTAAAAATAGAGCCATGAACTGTGTTGCTCCAAATAAAGAGCAATATTGTTAATTTCTCTATTTATAGAGCAATATATAGAGTACATTGTAGTTCATTTTACTCTAAAAATAAAATTTAGAGCAAGATATAGTGCACCAGATGCTTTAAAGCCAACGAAATACGGAGCTTTTGTGTTGCCTACCACTAGGGCCTAATTTATATATCAGTTTTCGATTTTTTTTAGTGTTTCAGTTTACTAGTTATAGCTATTATATTAAATTTCACACAATTATTTTCTCCCAAGAATTTTACACAGTTCAGTTTGAATATTCTCGATCTTTTTCGTTTAATTTTATGTTGTGGTTTAGTTTTGACTGTAAAATAAGATTAGCTCTACTATAAATCTATAATAAAACGATTTCTACTATTTTTTGAACTTACAATCGACTTGTGCTCCTCGACTCCTCGTGTTTCTTTGGGTATACCCATATGTTTTCTGCAATTTATTGGTAAAAAAAAATTGAGAGGTTAATTCGTAGATCGCCGTCAACTTTAGTTAATCTTATGCATAGAAAGACTATTGCTTCATTTGAAAACACATAAACTGTAAACATAGGTTTTACTTTCACTTACTCATTCTGAAACATCTATTGAATGAGAAGATCCCACATTTATTACTTAATCACTCTTTGTCCCACAACTTTCTCCTTCTCCCTTTTGGCTCCTTATCGTTTTCTTCACTGTCTGATTTTTGGTCTATTCACCAACGTTTAATAACATCCATGGTAAGAGTTGATCCCAAAAAATGACTAGATTTAGATACAAACCTCAAAATTTTAAAAAACAATATGGGCTACGGAACTGAGTTTTAAAATCATACCAAAATAGTAGTCGATTTCATTTAACAAATCAGGAAAATAATAAAATGTTAGAAATCCTTTACTATATGATAGATAATAGATGTGTGCATAAATCAATTAAATTTACAAGACATGCATGCGTACATTCTATGTGTGTGTTTGCGCATGTTCAAATGTGTTAAAAGATGTTGGTCATCATATAAGCACATTGTCTAATTTGGATGTGACATATTTGTTTAACTGTCATTCAGAGAAAGATTTATCAAAGTAATTGTTTAATTGTCAACCTTTAGCTTAACATAGCAAATTAAACCCACAAAACAAAACAAACAAACATAGTGTAGTCCCAAGTCCAAGTAGTGGTTAACTCTTGATTCTACATTTGGGTTCAAATGTTATTCTTAATATAAACATAAAACCTTAAACAGTCATCCTAGACAATCCCTCTCTCCAGCTTCTCTCTTACAAGACAAATAGAAAACAAATACTCTCTTACAGTAACTCTGTTTCTGAAAAGGACCCATAAAAATATTGGGGACTTTCTTTTCTCTCTCTCTCTCTCTCTTAGTTTCTTTTCCTTATCAACAACGCCAACTGTTATGTTGTTGTCTCTTAGCATCAAACGCAGCACCATCGTTAAGCATGTCATTAGCATCAGTCTCCATTCCAAGCTTCGAAAGCGCTAGAGCCTGCAGGTAAAACGCAGTAGGCCACTCCGGTAAGCAAACCTGAGCCTGCATTGCATCTCTCAGAGCTAGCTCCGGTTGATCCGTCATTAAGTAGGAGAATGACCGTCTTGCGAAAACCGTCGCAGATGGCACAGACATCATCCCCACCAACTTGGTAACACAAACAGTTATCACAAGGGTTTTAGATAAAATGCTCTAATCAATCATTGTTCTTGTTTTGTTTTATTATTACCTTTGAATAACATTCAATCGCGTTCTTGAAGTCCTTGTCTCTGAAAGCAATGTCTCCGAACTTCTTTGTGTTGAGCATTTCCTGCACTTGTTGTGTCCATTCTTGAAATGAAAGCTGTTGAAGACAGAAATAGAAAAATCAGAAGTTGAGAAAACAATTGAAGAACTCGGTTAAAGATCTGTACTCAAGTACCTCGTTCTCTGCTCCTTCCTCATCTCTGTAACCGGTTTTAAGCAAAATCTCGTGTACAGCCGCGTGGTCATTTTGTGAACAAGCCTTTCCGAGAGGAGAAAGCAGAGTTGGAAGTATAACTGTATTCTTAGGCAAGCCCATCAAGACATGAGATGCAACCTAAACACAAACAAACAACCCGAAACAGAAATTATTAACCTACTATGGAAAGTTGGAAACAATTGAGTATTATTTATTTGATTCTATTCTTGAACCTCTTTCTGCTTTTGTAGTGGTGCCACTGAAGAGAGAAGAAACTTGGTGTCAGGTCGATCTTTTGCCTCAGATTGAAGACATTTTGAAGCAAGATCAACAAGTTTAGTTGCGTCTTCATTCTCATATTGCCCTTCAAGTGATGAATCCATGAGTAGCAACACATTCTTCCCTCTTATTATATCAATAGCCTGATATTGAACATCCATCACTCATTCCATATGCTAAGGAAAAATTGACAAGAATTAAGCAAAAAGAGTGAAATGAAACGAGGAAAGTTGCAGGGACATTACATGGCTTGGTGGAATGTGTTTGCCGCTCAAAAGATCTATAAGAATAGTTCCATAGCTGTAAATTACACTTTCAGGAATGACTCTACCTGAAAAATGAGGAAGACACCCTTTAGATTCAACTAAATCAGAAAAGTATTTCCTTTTATGTTCTTGAAGTAGAATTTTGGTTTTACCAGTTCGTAAGAACTCAGGTGGAGTATAAGCTAAGTTGGTACTGTAGCTTTTTCCATCTCTACTATTCTTCATAAGACCAAAAGTTGATAGACGAGGATCGCCTTCCTCGTCAAAGAGGATTCTGTATGCATTCAAATCATGATAAATCTTTCGATTTTCAATGTTGCAGTGATCAAGTGCTTGTGCGATAAAATCTGCAACTCGGACACGCATTTCCCATGGAAGTGGCTGTTTTTCCCCTACACAAAATACAAAATGAGAGCATCAAGTCTCTAGATCAAAATGAAAGTAGTCAGAGAGAGAAAAATCAAAGGAACATTTACAGTGAAAAAGATGCTTCGAGAGAGTATCATTGGGCATATACTCAGCTACCAACAGTCTCTCGTCTCCTTCAGCGCAACAACCAATCAGATTGACCAATCTGTTGGATCTAAGCTTTCCAACACCAGTCGCCTCTGCCTGATTCCACGAGTCAAACAATAGTCAACGCAAGATCAACTATTCCAATTCAGACAAGAGAACAGACAAAAGAAAGTTCCAAAGCATCTTTCCTTTTTTTTCTTTCAAATAATTACACTTAAAGACCATACCTTTACTAACCTATCTACAACAATAAAGCTAGAAGAGAATCTAATAAATCTATGGTCGATAAAATATAGTCAGAATCCTGGGATAAAGTAGCTTTTGCAACCTAAAGCTACCTACTTTTACTTCATTTCAATAGCTACCAGACAGAGATTAGCATATTCTCTGGTCAAGATAGACACGAACTAATGTCTTTTTTCCTTCTACAACTTTACACAACCATTTCAATTCTTTGACTTATAACTGATGATCAATGAAATCCATGAACATAATATAAAAATCTCGATTCTGAATTTAACTTTTTTAAAAGATTCTTACCACAAACTGCTGAGCATCAGGCCAGGACTGCCTAGAGAATCGTTTGATGGCGACAAGACGATTGCCTTCAAGCTTTCCTCTGTAAACCACATTCGGAGCTTTCTCACCACCTTCAGAGACAATGCAACTGGGACTAAACCCATTTGTTACTTTCTTCAGTTCACTTAGATCAAACTCTTTGAAACCGGGAACTTGATTCTCCTGATCCACTTGGTCCTCATTTACTGCAACACAAGAATAGTATACATAACAAAATCCTTGAGACCACAAGAAGGAATCAAATGACCAATTTGAGGGAAATTAGTAGAGTTTAGTCCCAAAAAGGTATAATCTTTCTTGCTTTAAAACTGATTTGCCCTAAACCCACAAGCATTAAAACAAACCCACCAAGGAATTAGATAGAAATAGGCAAAAGACCAACTAAAATCTACTCATTGGCTAAGAAGCAGACACACCAATCAAAAAAACGCAACGAAACAAAAACAAATTAAAGATATAAAGTAGAGGGCAAACCTGATTCTGGTTTGTTGGGCACTGATGGATCATCGGGAGAAGGAAGCTTAGCAGTTTTGGAATGCAAACAACCCATTCTCTATTTCTCTCTCTCTCTCTCTCTCTCTGTCTCACATCAAAAGGAATGAGATTTCCCAAAAAGAGAACAGAATTTGGTTAGAAAACAGGAAGAAATAAGCTAAAATGATTGATTATGCCGGCGAATTTGAGAGAAGATTGTGTCTCTCCCTCTGGAGTGAGTTTGGGTTTTTGGCTTTGTGCTTATGTAAAGGAGAGTGATGGAGAGTGAAAAATTAAAAAGGAAATGAAGAGGCAGAAGAAGAATATAGATTAAATTTCCCATAAAAAGATTAATTTTTCCATAAAAAGGATAATAGTTTTATGTTTCTGATTGTAGAATCCGAAAACAGTGAAATTTAACCCCCACCACAAGCTGCAGAGTTGAAAAAATAATAGAAGAAACAATAATTCATGAGAAACAAAAATCTTACCTTTCCTGTTCTTCTAGATTCTGCAAATGTTGTTATCTTCTTGGATATGTTTTTAACGAACAAGAATGATTCATTTAACGTTACAAAATAAGTAAAAACAAAAATTACATAATTGTTGACATTAAAAGACGGAAACATTGAAAATTAATTAAAATTCCAAAAATATGTAACTTTATCAAATTTATAATCATTTATTACATACTGTAAAGCCATAATTCAAGTTTTGACGTCTAATTTGGTTCTTGCTTTCTTTTTTATTTACAATCATCATATTTTCCTTGTTAATAAGAATATGAGAGTGAGTAAATTAGTGGGAGAAAGAGAAAAGGAGTCACATGATACGTCTATCATGGGGCACGTGCCTACGTCTTCTTGGGTCCTGAATAATACCGAGGACGAAAGAAAAATTCACATTTTTCGTCTTTAAATCTAGGTATTCTGTAGTGCAGAGCCACACAAAAATAAGAGTGTTTAGTACAATATCACATAGCAATACAATATCACATAAAAGTCTTAAAAATTTATTAAATGTTTGACAATGCAATTTGTACTTCCTAATGTTCTTTAGTGGCAAATGATTTTTACTAGTAAATGGCTAGTGAAATATATTACAAATTTCCGATTAATAAACTTGAACAAAACTTCTGGTGGAGTATGAATACTAGGAATGAATAATAGTAGTAAATCTAGCTTGTTTCACGCCATATGGTGTAAATCAAGAAATGAGCTAGTGATCATGAGCCGTAAAGAGGTTAGTGAACTACGTTGCTAATTTACCAATGAATAAAATAGTAAAATTCTGAGCGTTTTTCATGTTATATGGTGTAAATCATGGAATCAAGGTTTGGGCTTAATTAGGAATTAGGCTTTAATTGGTCAAAGTACAATATTTTTGGGCAAAGTCAAGATGACATGTTAGGATAAGGTTTTGATTGAAAAAAATAGTTAAGCCCTAAATATTTCTCGTCTTGAAATGTTACAGTTAGGAGAGAGTACATGACATGTTTACGTGTTATTGAACAACAAGCCATTATTGACGTAAAGTAGTGGTCTTGTATAAGTTGAATAAATTCTGTTTTGGTCCTAGTTATAAAAAGGAACTGCATTGAATCTGAATTTGCGATAAAAAGAAGGCAGATCACAAGCACCTATCTCAGCAAGTTTCGATTCCAAACAAAAGAACCTGAAATCTGTTGTAATCACTAAACAAGTAGCCGTTCCAACAAATTATATCAATCACGTAGTATGTTTGATCCAACTGCATAAAACAATAACAAATCACTTGTAAGATCAAGAATAGAGCTATGAACCCATAAATCAGAGATAACAAAAAAAAGAAACAAAAAAGAACTTTACCTCATGATATATATATATATATTGTATATTATAAAGGGTCAGAAGTGCCATTTTTCTTGGCATCACTAGGCACAATATAGAACCAGACTGCAAATTCAAGATGAATCAATTTCGTACTCTACTAATCGTTGTTCCACCAAACAAAACTACAAGGCATCTTTTGCCGGTTGATACTAACACATACCTAAAACTTACCAAATTCCAAGACAATTCCCCAAAGTTCAAGAAATAACAAATGAGAAGAAGTAGAACCAATATTGGCTCAGATTCTCAGGGAACTTGATCATCAGTTCAGGTAGCATAATCTGCCTAGCAAACCATTTCTGGACCTCATCCTCTGAGCCTTGATGTTTAACGAATGTCAAAGCTACTAAAATCTTCTAGCAAAGTTGGATATGTAAAATTCTGAAAAAGATAGGATGGAGAATGTATTCTGATCTTTATGTGTCATGTTTGTTACCTTGGTAAGTGAAAATTAAAATCATACTGATTTATGGGTTTTGCCATGAGCGATTCTTTTAATAGTGGTGATGACAATGGAAAATCTACCCATGTACCCAGAGTTGGTCATGAATAGAAGCTCATTAAGCATGTGTTTGGAGCATTTGTGTTCATAAATTTTTGAAAAAGAATTTGTTACATAAATTTAATGGTTTAGTTGTTGATCAAGATTTAATGTGCGAAAATTGTACCATCCAATCAAGTGGTGGAGCTAGAATAATTTTTTAGAGGGGGGAAGAGGGTTAATATTAATATAATCACATAAATATTAAATTCACGGGGGTCAATAGATACGCTTGATTTCAGATAACTCATGAAATATAAACAAAAATGCATATATGCAAGAAAAATTATAAATTTCACCAGGGTCAACTGACCTCCTTGCCATCAAATAGCTTCACCTACTGATCTAATCTCGATGACATTATTGAGGCATCTCATTATGCGTGGCTTGATCCAATCTCGATTGACACTGTTATGGCTAACCACAATCTCTTGTTTGTGAATGACAAAAAAAAAAAAATCTTTTAAATCTTAACACCAACTCTGGTATGACACTTAAGTCTTTTATAGATGTCATGTAAGTTAAATAGGAAATTATGTAGTTGATTCTGTAAGCTAAATAAGAAGTTTTTATTATTAACACAAAAGAAACAACAGTAAAATAAAATTTCAGTAATTTGCATAGCTAATGTTATTACAATCTGGAGCGAAATAAGGTTGCGTCAACTAGTTGATAAAATATCATCATATACATAATCATCTATTTGAACGAAACCCCTAACTTTAACGTACGCAGTGTTTTGATAACATTCTGATCTCGTTCTTGAAGATCTATAATGCAGCTATTCTCTCCCTCAACATCTCTGGGATGTTCTTCTGATACGTCGTAATCTCTGATAAACTCTATAAATTTCTTTAAATGATACTATAACTTTCTTTAAAGGATACTTTTGGCATTAGTGATCCTTCGTTTATTTCGTTTTCTCCCATTTCTACAACTTTATAAATGCTCCTGGTGCGAAAACGTCTGTCTACTCCCGTGAAAATATGCATACTGTTTCTACCAGTTCTCATAATTAAGTTAGAATCAAGCATTTATAAAGTTGTAAGTATAAACACCAAAAATGCGAATTTGACAATTCTTCTTAGATATTCTGATGACAAAACTTTTTAGAGGATAAGTAAGTAGATTTTATAATAATGGATGCATTTACCCAACGCCACAAGCTTACTATTGATTCTTTTGATTGAGGTGACTAGAACATAATGTAATCTGGTTTGATCATGAAAATTGTTTTGATAGCTGACTGTAACTCTGCCCACTTACTCTTAAAATCTCCATGCATGCATGGTTGGATTTACTACAGTTTAAATAAATAAAAGTCGTAATCAGAAAGTTGTCAGGGATTAACAAAGGTTCATTTCACATCCTCAATTGTTGGCAAGTCGAGTAACAATGATAATCATCTTCTGGCTAAAGATCGGCAGACGTTAGCGACTGATTGACAAAACCAACACGTCTACTCTGCCAAATTTACAAAAATTGAACCAGACCGGTTTGCTTCTGGTTATGTTGACTAAATGGTTTGGATTTGGTTCTGTTTATATTTAAGAGATGGTGGATATTGCAAAATTTTCAAAATAAGACATACAGTATTTCAATTTAGCAAAGTAAATAGATCTAACAAATTAACAGAACTGATGATTAACAGATTTCGTAAATTAGCAAAGGGAGACTTTGAAAGACCCGCAATCCTTAATAAATTAAGTGATTGCTTATGGCGTTATGCAATAATGAAAACTTAAATGGAGGTTTAAAGTCATTGAACCAAGATGATTTAGTGACTCTTTAAATTAAACACGTATTGTAGTATATGTTATGAGATGCAAGGTTGGAAAAGTACCTCAAAACTCTGTAGATTGTTGCATTGGTGGGTATATTTGAAATTGAGCTTGGGATCAAATCACGAACTATATATCATCTATAGGCCATGACAGTGGAAATATATATAATCATATTGAGATTCAAGCGTACGTGATCAAGATCGCGTCAAACTGATATTGGCTCAAGGAAATTTAAATGTTGAGAAAGTTATTTAGACAATCCGCCGATAATTTTAATTTCACATAGGTTACCGACTTGCATTAATAATTTAACCATTTAATTTTTATACTTCACAATTGTAAAAATCAAGAACCATAGATTATGAAAAGGAAATCAAAGAAAATGAAAAATAAAATAAAATAAAAGGCTCGTATACATAAACAAGTAAAAGATTTTGGTTAGATTATACATAACAAAAAAAAAAAATCAAAACCCGAAATAAATCTTCCATAATTCCATGTATAAATTAAACAAATAAATCACAGAACTTCGTTAAGTAACTTTTTGCGAGACAGTTTAGACTCAAAAAGAAGGTTCAGGATGAACAGCAGAAGCGGCGGCGTTATTAACGTGAAGAGCTCTTTGAAGTTTCCGGTGATCGAAAACTTCAACTCCAACGTTAAATATCGAAGTCACCGGCCGATGATCGGACATTCTTATCTCCGATCTCTTATAACACTCTTGTCTTATTCCTTTTCCCAACCATAATATTCTATCACACCTGTTTAAAACACAAAGAAAAACAAACAGAAAACTCTCAAAAACGTGTTTGTTTCTGTTTAACCAAATTTAAAACGAAATTCAAATCGACCCCATAACTCTTTAAACGTTCAATTTAGTCACTTACCAAGCTGGAGCTCTCTTCTTCTCTCCTTCTCTCACGTTTTCTCCGGCGTATCGATCGGAATCGAATTCGTATTTATACGTCGGAGGGAATTTAATCGCTCCTTCTCTCCATCCATCAAAGACATGCCCTCTTCGTAGTTCTCTAATCAACTGTTAAAAATATTTAAAAGTAAGTAAGTACTTAACAAA